ACTTAGCATTAACAGAAGAAATGTCCACATCTGATTGGGACCATGTAGATAACATGACAGTTTCTTCAGCTACTTCAATGTCAAACAAATGTAAAGTTAACCAGGTTGCTAATTCAACCTGTCAAAAAAGAAGCCAGAGCCACACCTTGTTATCATTGCCCAGGTAGACGTAGCCCTCAAAGGTTTAGGACACATCCCGGCAGACGTTGCAAGATCTGAAATCCCTGCTATCCTCAAAAACGCTAAGAAACCCATTAGTAACATCAGCAAGGATGAGCGTTTTGAACTTGCTCAATTGAAAAAGAGAGATGACATTGTCATCCTCTCAGCCGACAAGAGCAATGCCACTCTCATCATGGATAAAACCACTTACAATAACAAAATTCAGGACCTTCTTAATGATAGCAGCTATACCAAAATCAATAGAGATCCTATCAACTGCCTGACCACGAAAACCAACAATATCATTACTAATTCGACTTCTCTAATCGAACCGACCAAGCAGCTCTCTCTAAAACCTTTGGCTGCTAGACCACCCAGATTTTATGGCCTTCCAAAAATCCATAAAGGTACCCCGCTCCATCCTATCGTCTCCACTATTAACTCACCCACCTACAAACTGGCCCGATTTCTGAGACCCTGCTTCCTTTCACGGGCAAGACCACCTCAGTTGTACTTAACTCAGCTCACATGGTTTCTCTAATCAAGGACATCTCAATGTCTCCAGATTATTTGCTTGTAAGTTTCGATGTAGTCTCCCTGTTCACCAAGGTACCTGAACTTGAAACCATTGCAATAATTGAAGACTTGGTCCAACAGGGACTGAATCCTGATGTACCAACTTTGGTGAGGCACTGCCTTATCAACACTTAATCCACCTGGAATGGTACATTCTACAATCAAAATGAGGGTACCCCAATGGGTTCCCTCTTATCGCCAGTGGTAGCGAATGTTTTCATGGAGAAATTTGAGACAGATGCCATCCAGACATCCACCCTATGTCCCTCCCACTACACCATAGGGCCCGTTGCATCTCCGACCAGCACCACCTATCTAGTGAACTGGAGCACGTACGCCAAGCCCTCAAAATGAATGGATATTCGGACCACACAATCCGCAAAGCTGCGTCTCCAACCATGGGTAGAGAACCATCTGAGGACCAAATCAAAACCATCACCTTGCCATACATAGCAGGGGTTACCAAAAAGATTTCCAAAATCTTGAACAAGCACAAGATTCAGGCTCGATTCAACACAGTACACAATCCATGACCTGATCCCATCTGTGAAAGATGTGATTCCTGACATGCAATACCCTGGTGTCTACAAACTAAGTTGTGTCTGCGGTAGCAGTTACATTGGGGAAACGAAACGACGTCTCGGACCGTGTTCGCAAACACAAGGCAGATTTGAAACACGGCAGAACCAATACCTCTGCCATGGCTGATTATTGCTTGAACGCGGTGGGCTCACACGACATTGTTTTTTCCGAGACCAAGGTACTCTGCAAATCTTCAGGCTACCATCAAAGATTCGTTCATGAAGCCATCCAGATATATAAACACAAGACACAATTTCAACCGGGAAGATGGGTACAAACTGAGCAATCATTGGAAGGACGTTATTAACCAGTTTAGGTCATAACTGGCGGTGATGTTCCCTTGCTACCTGCCTATGTTAGCAGTTATTTTCGACTCTCTTGAGTTCCATTCACTAACACAACCACCGTCGTTTGCCTGCTCCGATGTTGCTGTGGTTCTTTCCGAGCTTTTTCCGATCTTACATTTACATGCAGTCCTCGATGTGACGGCGCACTACGAGCTTACATTAACATGCTAATCACATTTACACAGTACATTTACATGCAAATTTCTCACTTTAACATCACTAGCCCCCCTCACTTCATTTATGACTCTGGGGCTATGCCCATCTCTAACCTTTAAGAGCAGCCTGCATCAGCAGCTTCCCTCTTTCTTCGCCTGATGATTGCTTGCGTTGCGATCTAAACGTTGTGATATATTATTTTTTCTACCTATGTGACTTTACCAAAAGAACCAAAGAGTATGGATCCCTGCAGTCACAAAAGCTTAAAATCAAGACTAAACTAACCCTCAAAAATATCAAATGTCGAAAGTTGCAGAACATGCCTGTCATTCGATGGATTTTGATAACGTTGATTTGTGTAGAACAAATCATTACTGGCGAAGACTTAACCGGATAATCTATTAAAATTAGCAATATAATTTTAACCATTGTGATAGCTATAGGCTTAGTGCTGCTTGGAAGAGTATGATTACGTCATAACAGAATAGTTAATTTACCTTTAGTGAAATGAACATAGCGGCAATAACACCATTAACCATTTCGTAAATTGCACACACCCTTTACATATGTAATGTCTCCGACGGCGGTGAATCTTTACTTATTCTTTCTTTATTAAAGTTTCTGGTTACAACCGACTTCTCCCTCTCGCGCTCACGGATGGCGTGTTGTTCTCTGCAAGCTGCGCTGCCCCGCGCCACGTGGCGCTCACCCACTCTCCACCTCGCCGCTGGCTGGCAGTGTGCTGAGAGCGGGCGGTGGCTGGGTGGACGAGGCGCCACATGGTCGATGGAGATGGCGGGGCAGCAGCAACATGTAGCTCTTTCTTGAATTTTCAATCACCGACCCCGAACGTAATGCTGCCCCCGCTTATATTGTTTGTTGGGGCTAAGCCCCGCCTCTGGCCACGCCCCTCCTGGAACCTTCGAGAAGGTTCCAGCAGCTTCCCGGCTAGCTCGTCCCATTAACCTTTCCCCTAGATATAAACCGTACAACAGACAAGACATAAAGGTCAGCATCAACCAAACAGGAGATGGCGCTCTATCATTACACGTCTATGTATAAAAAAGGGAAATTTGTGATTGTGTCTGTTTAAAATATTTAGCATACTTCCCGACATGCAACAAACAAATTTACCATGTGGGTACTTTCCAGACTGTACACCATGCAAAAACAAATTTGACTTTTGTATTTTTGGGGGGGGCGCAATAATGCATATATTTTGCACGGCAAGTGAGCTGTGACGTCACATCTGTCATGTGACCCGTGCGCGGAAGCGAAACGGAGTGTGCCTGCTGATCGCGGGTAAAGTGAAATACAAATGTGTTGCAGGTCTAAGGCGTTCTTCACGCAGCATTGTTTTATTACTTCAGTCGTTTACTGCCGTACGCACCCTGAAAGTTGTGTGTTTGCAGCAAGTGCGTGTATGTGGGGGGGGGGAGCGGTAGTGATTAGCGCGCTGCGCTACGAACCCGGCGACCCGAGTTCGATTCCCGCTCACGCCACCACCGGTGACGATTATTTTAACCGGTCCTGGGACTCCCCTAGGTCGACTCGGCCTCAAACGAGTAACTGGTGTGGTGTGTCAACATCGCCACTGGGGGGATAAAGGCGGCCGGGCGTGGTGAATCCAAGTCCCGGGCGAAGCCGGGTAGTAAAGCAAGTAAATATACATACACCGGGCCACATACCACGCACACAACTTCAAGATACTTTACTGTAATTACAACACGCACACTCCACACACCCAGCACATAGCTCCCACACCACAAAGCCACACGAGCACGCACACTCCAGTTCCTGCACAGAAACACCGTTAGTTGCACGTCTATTTATGTAAGTGTATTAACGGTGACTAACATAATTTTTACTTATCCTGGAGATATCCGATGGGCCATGAAGCTCTTTTTCACAGATGTCCGATATGGCAGCATGTAGAATTTCACATTAACATCACATTACTATTAAGACCAAAAACTGGAAGACGTCCTAATTATGGCAATTGCCTGATGAAGCTGATTGTAATCACCAGCGAAACGTCGTACTCAAATTGTAAATGTTGTGGGTTTACTCTCCAACACAGCGGTGTGCGAAAGTAGTAACTCACTGGCACGTTTTATTTCCGTGACAAGTCTAATTAATTTGCTGTCGGGTGGGGGTGTGTTTACGACACATTCACGCGATCTCACCCAACAAACTTGAAATGCTTTATTTGTGATAAAGAGCCTCTGATTAATATTGCGAGATAAAGAGGCGGAAAGCCACTGAACGTTGTGATGAAAAGCAACGTCGACTGCCTTGAGGCTGCTACGCGGTTTCGTGAGAGAAGCAACCCCCAGTGAGACCCGACACACGGGCGCCGAGAGACCCGAGGCGGCAACATGCGGACTCGTGAACTCCCCCCCCAAAGCGCGCGGAGCTGCGGGATGAGACGCGCCCGAGAGGACGTCCAACGCAGAGGCGAAGGGATGGTGCCGCGTGGATCGTCAGGTCGCGGGCCCGAGGGCGAGGAGGCGGCAGCGGCCCCCATCCAGCAGCCGATCAACCCTGGCACTCACTGCTGGCGGCGACGTCACTTCCTGTACCGTCGGGCTCCGCGCCCTCCAGTTACGTTGTCATTTGCGGCAATTCACGACACAAGCGCAATCTTACGACACTTTTGTAGGATCAATAAAAAACACTCGACACGGTCGTCAATAACACCGACGTCAAATATAAATGTATGGAATAGGCGATATTTCGGGCAGTAACCCTTCACTCCCTTGCAGTAACTAAACTTTACGAGACTTCGCGACATCACGTCCGGTCAAACTTTACGCCATGTTGACAGTAACTTTGCGACACTTCACGACAACTCCGCCGTCCATCGAACGACACTTAGCGGCACTTCACGACAGCTCTTCACTGCTTCACGGCATCGCTGCTGCCGTAAGCCTCAACGCTCCCTCATTGTAATTCCCCGAGGTGACGGAAGCTCGATTGGCTCGCCGTCTGCACCACGTGCGCGGCTGTAACCAATCACCGCGCTCGCCTCTCGAACCAATCACCGCGCTCGCTCCGAGTGAACCCGGCAGCGGAAGCTACAGCAGAAGCGCGAGGTCACGTGGCGCGCGCTCTGGGTCACGAGGCGGAGGAGGTCACGTGGGGTGAGAGGTCAAGCGGCGCGCGCTCGGGGTAAGGATAGGTCACGACGACGTTTCAGGCGATGGCCCAAGTTCTTCGTGAAAAACCCCAGGGCCCATTGCCCGAAACGTCGCCTCTCGCGTCCCCACGCGGCTCTCCGGCACGGGGTCCGTGGCGCCCTGCGTTGAGTCGCATTCTTGAGAGCCAAGAGGCTCGGACCCGAGGGCTTTTCGGCACGGTGCAGGCTCGGAGCTGGCTCAAGGGAGCAGACTCAGCCATGGCGCTCAACTCGAGGAGGCTCTGAGCACGATCCCCGCCACGCTCACGATTTCCATGAGCCTGAGCCGAGCCGTGGAAGCTCGCCACGGCTGTGGAAGCGACCCAGCGGCTCTTTCCGGAGCTGAGCCGCGTTAGAGGCCAGGGCCAAGTCGTGATTAAGAAGGCGACGTGGGCAGTGATCGTCTCGCGTTGGGAAGGTTTTTTTGGTTACATTTCAGTTGGTGGTTGACGACTCGGTCTTAACATCTTCGACTCTCTCGGTCCAATATAATTACACTTTGTGAGAGTCAACAGTAGTTCTAGATAATGGCTCGGAATATAAATGTGGAGTTTCCGTCGCTGTTCAGGACCAGAGATGAGCGCCGCGCGATTGTTAATCTGACGAGGGAAACGGACGTATTCAACATTCACCCCTGTAAATGCAATTCTGTTGGGCAGTGGGTCGCTTAAATTGCACTTTAAGGGAAAGCCGCCCTATAAAGTCACCGTCTCCCCTCACAACAAGGTGTCATTTTGTCTTTAGCAGCAGTGAAAATTGCAAGCCTCACCTTCGAGTGATAACTATTGACGTGATTTATCGACCCGAAGGAATGATGGGCCGAGTCGAGCACCGAGCGATTGTGAAACGTGCAGTCTGACCATCATAGCGCCACCATTTTGCCAACTTTGAACGAATGTAAACCTAACCCTGTCAGAGCCGTGTGCCGCTAACAATAGCCCACATATTCTTGGTTCTTTCGGTAAAGTCACGCAGAAGGGAAACAATAAAATATATTTGTATTATATTTGTACGTGACTTTACCGAAAGAACCAAGAATATGAATCCCTGCAGTCACGAAAGCTTTAAATCAAAATAGCCCACATGGTAACTCTCTACTAGCTCTAATGCTGAAATTAAGTTATTTGGTTATTATTATTTTTTATTATTAACCTCGTGATTGATGCATTGATTCGCGTTTGTAACTCTACGTTTTTTTTTGTTGCAATGTTCAGGATGTATCATGGCTCGTTCTCTGCTATGACGCCTCGTGAAACAATTGCTGCTATCATTCGGCCACCCTGGTTCTAGTTTCCTCGCCGAGGACGCGGGCTGCACTAAGCAGGTTCAGTGCAGCTTGCAAAACGAGACTTGAGAAGGCGCGTTTCTCGCGTTCACGGGTTTATCAAACCTCCAACTTGCCTGCCCTCTTCACAGTTCACAATCTCTGGAACGTCAACACAGCAAGGGTGGGGAAAACCCGATTTTTTTTTTTTGCCCGACAAATCGGGTTATTGGTTTTAATGGAATTAAACCCGATTTTGCCGATTAAAACCTGGTTTTATTATCGGCGTCTCGTGCACACTTCAATCCTGCTGCTCGTCGTCGTCGTCCGCCGCTCTCGCCGCTGGACTCGGTGTTGTTGTCGCCGGCGTCCGGTAGTCGTAGAACGCGTTGAGGTTCGACTTAATGAAGACGAGCTTCTCGACTGTGCCGGGCGCCAGGCTGTTCCTCAACTTGGAATGGATAAATCCCATCGTCGAGAAGTTTCGCTCAGACGCAGCGGTCGACGTGGCCATGCTGAACAGTTTGATGGCGATCTTCTGGAGCGCGGGATAGTCGCCTCCGACGAGTGGCGAACTCACGACGAAGGCCTCGGCGAGGGCTGCACGCACCGCGTGGCTCAGGCGCATGGCGGCTGAGCCCGGGCCCGGCCCGAACGCCGCTAATGGGTGCGTGCGACTGAAATCCCGACTTAACTTTAATAAAACCGGAATTGGGCAGTATCCAGGTGCTGCGGTTTTATATAAAAACTGATTAAAACCCGAATGAATAAAACCGGGCCGTGCCAGCCTTGCAACACAGCACTCATCTGCAGATGGGTAAACGTTAAAAGGTGGAGACCCTGACCGTGTGAGTTTTAATTACCCGTATGTGCATGTTCTGGCGCAGTTATTCAACAATGGTTCCGCAGGAGTCCAGAGGACTGGGCTGTCAATATGTCCACTCAGTTCAAAGGAAACCGAAACAATTGGGTGATGTGAGAAATCAAAACTTATCCATGGCAATGTGGCGGCATGTATCCGTGTAAACAGCTACAGGATAGAGTCCCCAGAACAGTTTCCTAATCTTCTTTGGTTCTTAAGGTAAAGTCACGTAGAATGAGAATAAAATAATAAATTGATAAAATAAAATAACACAATAATATTCTCACGTTTCGTGTTATTTATTGTTATTTTATTTTATCAATTTATTATTTTATTCTCATTCTACGTGACTTTACCGAAAGAACCAAAGAAGATGAATCCTTGCAGTCACGAAAGCTTTAAATCGAAAGTTTCCTAATCCTTTTCGCGCGTGCTGGGCTCAGATTAACATGGATTCGCTCTCAGTGTGCACTGCATAGTGACAGCCGGCGACACGGGATTCCCACCTTATAAATGTCACTTTGTCATGAATACGTTCAAATTGTGTCGGCTAGCCTGTGATACACAGCCTCGGTATGCAGCTAGCGGTAGCGCTGCAGCATCAATGTGTGAGAAGCAAATACAAAAACATCAATTGTATTGTCACTGACAGGAATAAGAGGATGGCTTGAAAGACAGCTGGCTATTACGATCAATCCGTCCTAAAAATGCCGAATCTCAGATCCGAGTACTAACAGGGCTCAACCCGGTTAGCACTTGGATGGGAGAGTGGGAATACCACAGCTTTGTTGGCTTGGGTTGCGAGGCAGTCGGAAGACAGCAGTAGAGCAAATAATTATTGACTTTGCAGAGCTTTACTTATTGTCTGCTCCTATACGTGGGTTTTCTCTAGGTAACAAGGCCGTAATTCTAATATATATTGGGGGGGGACACAATGTCCCCCGCAATATCTTGCTATAAAATAGATTTCTGTTTATATGATTGTGGTTATGGTTGTACTTTATTAATCCCTAATCTCTGCCATTACATACAATGAAACAAGAAAAGGTAAAAAAGTAAAAACAGGGCAATATAATACAATACACTACTATACATTATTGTAAAAAATAAATAAAAAGTCCATCCTATGTGTTAGTGAATTTTTTTATATTTTAGGCAGGAAATTCGTTTTAAAATTTAGATTTTTTTTCTGGGGGTAGACCCCCAGACCACCTGGAAAATTTGGTCCCCCCCAATGTTGACTCAATGGCTACGGCCTTGCTAAATAATCTAGGTTCTTCCCACATTCCAAACGCTCAATAACTGAACTGGCTAAACATGCCAATGTGGAACTATCCTGAACGTTAGGTTTGTGTATTCGTAGGATACGAGCAGTGAATTCATCATGACTGATGATGATCGTTCTTATACTACAGCAGCAGAGTGATGCATGCGCCGTGTGCATGCACATGCACGTGTGCAGCCGCACATTTTTGCAGCAGATGGCGCACAGGCAGGTGCTGAGGCGGCTAGTGGTGGTGCAGGAGGCCGTGAGCAGGGCGGCGCGCGGCTCCCATGCACCGCTCTCCTCCTCATCGCTGTTGCTGACGACGCCGTTGGCGCGGCCGCTCGACACGACATGGATGCGCAGCGCGCGCGGCTTCACGTCCACGGCGACGCGCGCCATCTCCTTTCACGTGCAGGACGTGGACGACTTCACGGAGCGCGTGGTGAACAGCGACACGCCCGTCGTGGTCGATTTCCACGCGCAGTGAGTCGCTCGGTTTGAACGTCGCGTGAATGTGGCACCTCTGAGACAGAGCTAATGGTAGTAGTCAGATACGGAGTTCCTGTAGTAGGATCGCAAATCCCTGGGGGAAGGAAGAAGGTTGAGGTGGTAGAAGAGTTTGTTTACTCAGGCGGTGATGTCCACAGCGCAGGGGGCTGTGAGAAGGAGCTCACGTCACTTTGGCAGGACAGGATTTGTTGAGCTATGGAGCACCATTCTACTACGGTATGGATTGGAGAAGTTGCTGGCGTTTGAGCACAGGTGTCTTAGTCGGACACTGGGAATTCCGTGGCAAGACGGAAGTCCAAAAGTGAACGTGATAGATGGGTGTTGTAAATGTCATTAGGCAGGATTGGTGAGCGCCGATTGCTGAGACCAAGACGAAGACCTAAGAGCAGATGGAGGGAGATTGTGAGGTCAGATCTTGGAGGTCACTGCGTGTCGACTGCAGCAGCTGTGTGAACTGGTGGAGGGTAGAGAGTGTTGGCGACATTCAATTCGCATGACATCAGTGGCTCCGGCCATGATGATCTTGAGCACCTCTGGTGGCTTCGGTCGCATACGGTGGATGAGTAAAGAATAATACATTCTTACAAGATTCAATGAAATTTTAATGCTGTTAGACATCTAGTTTTTACTATTTCATTCGTATCATGAGCTTAGGCATTGATTTTAATACAAATCAATTAAATAAACATCTAAATGTAACTAAGGAGTGTTGCAAGCTCCTTTAAGCGGGAAGTCATCATGAGCCTATATATCTAGAAAGGCTTAAAAGCTGTCAAAATATCACTGGGACGATTTCCAAATTATAAACCTAAATTCAGCAGAATCCTTCATACAATTCCTTAACCACTCCTAAAGCTGCTTCATGTTCCCCGTTCAAGTCGCTCATCACTTCTAAAATATTTTGTAACTTGAAAATCCAAAAAGTCACCGAGTCTAGCGACAAAATTGCCGAGTGGGGAACACCGCCTCAGGGCGGTCCCGTCGTCCGTCCTGGCTGGCGCCCAATGTCTCCTGTACACCGACAGATGGTGCGGGCCCTGTAAGATTCTGGGCCCTCGCCTCGAGAAGCTGGTGGCAAAGCAGTCGGGCAAGGTGCTCATGGCCAAGGTGGACATCGACGACCATACGGACCTGGCCGTTGAGTATGGGGTGAGTGGACGATGCCACCGTGGCGTTTGCAGATGGCAGCGGTGGGTTGATATCCCTCAAGGAATGCACTTCTTAGCAGTATGCAGGTGTATTGGTTCCCATTGTTCTTAAATATCAAACCCACGAGTGACTGGCATGCTTTGGGATGACTGGCATTAAGACACCCAGGCTTGTGTAATTTACTGAAGCCTTGCAAAAAATGTGGCAAAAGACAAGGTTTGTGCCATGTTATTATCTCACGTTCCAGCCCTGCTGGAGGACAACCACTGATGATTTCCTACAAAGTGGAACTCGATGACTGCAAGTTTAACGTTTAAAATAGGCAGCATCAAGCAACCCAGTAGTTTCTTGTAACTGAGACATTATTTGGCACCCCATCTATTCATAGATGGCTCTTGCCTATCGTTTTCAGCACATTGCTACCCTCCTGATGTTGTAGTCGTCGTAACTGGTTCAGAGTAAACAAATGGCAGTGGAAGTAATTTGTCCACATTAACTGTGCTGGCAGGGGCAGCCTCTTAGTGGACCAATAGATGGGCAGATAGCAATTCAAGGCCCATTACCGCTACCTGCTCAGGGCAACAACGCCCATATCCAATGTAATAAAATACAGAGACAAGCGGGCAGGATGTATATTGAACTTTCGCACCATACATAACCAACTGTGCTAATCGGAGGTGCGAAATCAAAAGTGCTAATCGGTGGGCAGTTGGGCAACGAGCGGATTGACCTGTGCCCGCATGCGCTGCTGCTCGACTGGTGCCTTGTGTTCCCAGGTGTCGGCGGTGCCCACGGTGCTCGCCATGCGGAATGGCAGCGTCGTCGACAAGTTTGTGGGCGTGCGCGACGAAGACCAGCTGGAGGTTTTCCTTAAGAAGCTTGTGAGCCCCGTGGCCTCGGCACAGAGGGAGGCGGGTGACACAAAGAGCACTGAATAGAAACACGGGGGGCAAGGGGGTGCCTTTGTTGAAGCTGAGCCGGGGTGGTGGAGGCAGCCGGACTCGTGGGTTCGGCGACGCTTCTTTAACCTCATGGAAGAGAATGTAAGGCAAATGTATTCACCAAATGCGGACAACTTTGTGGTAAATGTTGCAAACGATCACAAGCTAGTTTCTACAACGAATAAATTAAACTGAGTCGAGATCATTGAAACTGCACAGGTAATCATCTGATTACTATCATTTGTCTCTATATCCGCGTTGGCTATGTAAGTGTAGGCGTTCTGTATTTAAGGATCTGCATTGTTACGTGTAGGTTGTGTGGTGTGGTAATGTGCACGAGTGCAAATTGTTGCCATTAAACCTGCATCACTTTGCTCAATTTCCCACAAATTTCTGAATGGTTGGAAGTGCTCACCAATGTGTGCATCAACCCATACCTCCACGTGAAACCTGTAATGTTTTAAGAACTCTGCAAATTTGCAAAAGTGCGTTAACTTGAGTGTCCGAGGTGTCTGAAAATGCCCTCACTCCCACTTAATGAGGGTGAACAAAGCTGCTTCTAATAGCCTGTGGGTGTGACACAGAGCACAGGAAAAAACATTGTTTAAGAGACTGACATTTGAGCTCTTACTTCGATGATAGCACTGTCTTAATAACAATAGTAACTACATAATTTGAATCCTGCTACCACGTGCATAACTGCTGCCATGTACATGACTAGCTATCAATGGGAAGTGCTGGTTGTGGTGGGGTCTGTGGTGTGTTGCCTTTCGGAATATACATTTAGCAGGGACTATTGGACAACACAGTTAATCTGAGAAATCGTCTCCAATCCACTACAAAAACAAGTTCGAATTTGACCAAGTCTAAATGGGTTGTGTGGCGTTGAAAGCTCTAGCCTTACAACACCTAGTCACGGCCGTAACCTTAATGTTTGTCACCTAAAGCGTCGCGTGAACATTGAGCACGCAGCTGCACTGTCCGGGATGCACGTCGATCCCGAGTCTCCACGTTCCGCGTTGTAACGGCACTGCTGATGAGCCCCATGTTGTCGACTCCAGAGTTCCATCTAGTGCTCTGTCTCAGCAGCATGCTATGCGGGCACACTGCAGAGATGCCGGGACGTGGGTAGCAGACCTCGGCAGGAGCTGATTTACTTACCCAAGGACACGGTGTAAGCTGGTGAAGCAACGCTTCCCCAGCATGAGTGGCAGTGCCGGCAACGTCGAGCTGCTGTCTACCGTCTGCCACCAAACTGAATCTATCATGACACCTGCTTAGCAGCACAGCCTCCACTGTTTACTTACAGCTGTTGCTCATACGAAAACAATCTCTTGTTTTTTTCAAATATCGTGAAGAAGTCGTTGCTTAAAGTAGCAACTTACAAAGAGTGCTTTCAGTCACGTATTTTAGGGAAGTTGGAAACCCCTATTGGGTTGCGCGCAGTTGTATAGGGCACTAGTTTGGCTACGTAACCCAAGCTTTCCCTTGCAAGCCTTGCTACAAATCATCACAATTCCTCGTTTTTACTTGCAAAGTTCAATATATGAACTTAGGCCACACGGTACTTGTAATTGCGTTCATGAGGGGTTCTCGAGCCAAGACTGAGTTTGCGTTTGTGTGTTTTGGGAGTCTGCGTGTGAGCCTGCATCGCTCTGAATCCTTTTGTTTTATTATTTACAGTATTTCTTCATGTATGGTTATTGCATAAAACAACTTTGCAGAGTATTTACCTATTCAATTATTGTGATACATTGAACATGTTCCTGATTTGAAATTGCAGATTGTTCTTTTGCTGTAGTTTGTACTGCTGAACATTGTCAATAAATCACATCTGTATGAAATGTGCTTTTTAATGTCTTTCACAAACTGCAATGGAACTGTAAAGCACGCATCACTCCTACTCACAAGCCCCAGGTTTCTCCGTGCTTATTGCGCTGGTGCACATCTCCACCGGTGGTAGCTCTGAGCCAGTGGTAATTGTTCCACATTGCCATGGAGTTGCCCACCCTCTTGGGACAACTACTGACTTGCCACAGAGTAGTAATTATTTTCCTGAGTACAAAGGAATGAGTCGTGTTGACTGCCGACTGGGATTAAACTCAAACCGAACAGCGATGTGAGCAGTGTCATCCCATGGTTAAAAGTTACAATTCGGTTCTTGGCACATAATTGCTTCTAACTCATCATACACATCTACAGCTATTTCTCAATCTACTGCTGGATGAAGGCTTCACGCAGTGCGGGTCAATGTGTTTTTTACCATAATTCATGCCGGTTGATGCAGGTTGCTAAAGGATGCGGTGAGCATAGAAACAGTACATTCCAATAATGTATTTTTCTGCACTGCCCAACACGTAGCTCCGCAGGACCGTAACACCTTGGATGCATGGTGGTTATCCATGTAAGCTTGATTGAGGCACAAGCAGTACTTGGCTTATGAGGTCGGGCGCATCCCGGATAATTTGGCCACAGGCCCAACCACCCACCGGCGTCATCGCTCCTCAGCTCGCTCGCGGGCCCTCAAGTTGGTGGCGATGGGAACTGTGCCGGGGCAGCCCACGAGTTGTCGGGCACCGCGAGCTGCAAGAGGTGAATGCGCAGCCCTGCAATTGCCACTGCTGATGGTAGGGCAGTGTAAAGGGAATTTTAATCGTAGCGACATTAATGGACAATGCGATTTTTCTAATTTGGACCAAGACACCGGAGCACAAGGGCCTCATCATGTTTGAATAATATCACGACGATCGTTAACGGCCACTGAAAAGGGGACGGCGCAGAGGGCCCGCTCGGTTCGCGTGAGGCTGCAAGTCGCAGTGATGCAGCTTCCAACCCAGCAATTTTATTTCACGGTTAAATCATGGGCCTAATCAGAAATTAACATCGTCTATTTTTTCCCGATCACAATTGTATGTGTTAAATACCAACGAGTTGACCTGTGGACGCATGTGTGACACTAACGCCATGCTGCTGCACACGACGTGTTTGATGCAAATTTTATTTATTTAAATGGAGAAGTCCACGACTTCCTCCTTATGCACCTGCCCGATACTCTATTCAAAAACATTTAAACTTTTTATTTTACCAGGTAAAGGCCCACTGAGCTATATTGCTCTCTTTCATAAGCGACCTAACAAATGATAGCTCAACGCAGTGTTTCTAAATGTGGAGGGAAAAACCGGAGCGCCCGGAGACAAATCCACGCCACTCCAAACATCGAGCTGGCATCACAGGGTCGTGATCACTCAGAAGGCAGCAGCCCTCCTGTTTAGACCCCACCCCTTCCTGCCAGATCTGCGCCTTTCCTTTTTAGACCACGCCCCATTTAGGCTCCACCTCCTGCGTGGGCCCACCCCTTCCGCCAGGACACGGGGTGGGGCTGGTTTGGGTGGTGGTGAGTGGTGGGGTCAGTGGTGAGTGGTGGGGTCAGTGGTGAGTGGTGGGGTCAGTGGCGCTGCGGGTGGAGCAGCTTCACGACAGTTCCCTATTGGAGCAGCAGCGGAATCCTAGATGTTTAAAATGACTGTACAGGACTTCTTAAACAAACCCTGACCTGACGCCAAGACGCCACCATGCACTGCTCACTCCGCCTCATGGCCCGGGCGCCTGCAGTGACAGTCAACACTGCTGCTCTGACACAGGCAGCTCGTCAAGCACTTGTGGGGGCTAATGCCCCACTCCCCACTACGTGGGGGCTGATCTCCCCCTCACTCTCCACGAGCGGGGGGGGGGGGCACGTCTAATTGGTAGGGGCTGATCTCCCCCTCACTCTCCACGAGCGGGGGGGGGGGCGCCACGTCTAATTGGTGGGGGCTGGTGCCCCCCTCCACACGCGGGGGAGGGGTGCGATGTTTGCCTCCCCCATCCCCTCCGCGTTTTTGTCTTTCGGGGCCCCCCGCGTCCCCGAGCGGGTGACCGACCCCCCCCCCCCCCCCCGTACCAGGGTCACCTCGGACCGACATAGCTAGCGGCTGGCCGAGCCCGCCGAGGGGTTGCGTACGCGCGTGCCTTCCCCCACTCGCGTGTCCTAACTGCGTGGAATACGTAAGGGTTTGGCTCGCTGCTGTGTGGGGATAGTTAATAATCTCCCCTAAGCCATTGTGTCAACAAGCCAACGGCGCTCGGAATCAATTAATTAATCTCTGCCCTACGCTCGCGGCGCGGTCAAGCGTTGGTATTTTAATATGCGCGCGCTCGGAATCAATTACTCTCTGCACGCTATGCTCGCCGCGCGGTCAAGCGTTTCTATTTAATTATTTATTTGTGTGTGCGCGCACGTCGTGCTTACACTGATCAAAGTCACCCACACACCGTCGTACGCCAATCGCTGTACCACCGCTCTTCACACGCACACATGCACCATGCGTCACGTCAGTCTGTGCTAAGATTTATTTCCCGGAGCGAATAGGGACCCCCGTGTATGGCTCCCTCCAGCCAGCACCCTTCCTCCTCTCACCTACCCATCGCAGAGTGCGTCTATCACCTAAGCTCGAGCTGACTGAATTGGCCTCCCTTTTCCATATCCACTCACCTCTGCAGCTGTCCGATGGGGCTGGGGGAGATGCTTGCCTTGGGGACTTTTTCTGATCGATCGCTTTCAGCTCCACCCTGCAGGCGTCGCACGGACGCTGAGGACGGCTGGCATCTCTCACCGCTCCAGAAGGACTCTGATCCCAATTTTCCCTCCTGCCCCCATTATGTTCTCAAGCCCGTTAATCCCCGGGTCATATGACATCAACCTGCGTATCCAATCGAATCCTCTTTTCCGGCCGTTTTGAGCACTCTGGTCGTTGGGGGGGGGGGGGGGGGGGGGGGCCGCGTCATTCCCCCCCCCCCTTCCCATTCTCTGTGCCTACGTCCCTCGCTGGTGATTCATCGATAATCCCCTCGCCCCCTCCCACTTAAGTCAACTCGTATCGGCCTGGGGGCTTTTCCCTCCCACCCCACCGTTTACCCTACCGCTGGGTACTGGCTGAAGTTCCCATCCCCCCGTGTTGTGTATGCTTCATCGCGGCCGGCCTGTAAAGCTCTATGCCCCCTTTTTGGGGAGGGGCGCCATGTAATCCGGTCTGGGGGGCTCGGCCAATGTCCTGGTCCGGGGAAACCGTGGAACGTCCCTGTTAGTGGAGTCCTCGGGTGAAAACCCATGGTACCAGGTGATCCCTCCTCGAGACCCTATGGGGGTGCATGTGAGTGTTTAGTGGGGTGTGCATGCGTTCGTTGGGGGGGGGGGGGGGTGCGAGGAGGGGGTAGCGCCGGCCGAGCTGCTCTGCTGCGGTGGCACCACACACTCTCCGGACCCTTAACATGACCCTTAACTCTAACTTTAACAAAAACCCTCACACCAACACCCGCCATTCACCACTAAGTGGCGGTGACATCACCACGAGCGCCTGTGCCAGGCCAGGTGCACTTTAAGGCCACGTGAAGTGCTGAAGACTCGTCGACAGGTCACGGACCAGACCCAGCAGGTGCCATGGGTTGACTGAGAAGACTGGCAGACGCCCCCTACTGTGCCAGCTTGCTGCATTTTAGCCGCCCGGCGAACACTAACCCGGGCCCAAAAACCAGCCCCGTGCCTCACCAGAACCTAAGTCCTCCCTCCTGTTGAAACCCGGGTTCAACCTCCGCCCTCATCAGGAGGTCACTCCTGGCGAGTCTGGAGTTGCCTCCCCTTGGCCGTACGCGCTGCACAGACGTCTCGGGCTCAAGCCCTCTCCACGCCCTGCCCATGGACGCCCCCCATCTCTCCTTGTGAAGCTCCGCGCGTGTTTCCCTCTCCGTGTGGTGGTCCTCTTCCCCCGTCTGATACGAATAGACACAAACACAACTCCCAGTGCCCTCCCCTCCACAGACACCAAGTACGATCCCCTCTCCTCCCGTTTGCGAGCTGCGCGGCGCATTTCGGCGCTGTCTCCCATGCTCCGTCTCGGCCCCTAGCGGCATGAGACGCGAGCCCCCGGAGTTCAGACGGAAGGGTTCAATCCCAGAGGCAGTGCAAGGTGTTTTGCCTCGAGGACGCTGCACTTTGCTTCCCCCCTCACCTCCGATTAGCACGATTGTCTACGTATGGTGCGAAAGAGGTTCAACGTACATGCATTCACTTGTCTTGCCTGACTGCAATTAAACTCCGAATCCAGCCAATTCACACGAGGTTGTTTGCACCCTCACCCGGGTGGTACAGTATGTGGGCTCCAGCAGCAGCTGTGTGCTGTATGTACTGTATGTTGATCTTCTTTCGCACCGTACGTAGCCAACCGCACTAATCGGAGGTGTGTGGGTGGACTTGCTTGGCTGCCACTCCGTTCCGATAGCTTCCTTATCCTGTACTCGAGTCCATTAGTAAATTTTCAACCACAACTGCCGACTGCTTCTTCCACAAGAGGCACACTGCGACCGTACCAAAATGTCATCACCACCCGTTTATTCTTCTTTTCTTAAGAACCATAAACACTCGTGAATTGGCCAGTAACACTTTCATAGACCATATACATAGAACCACAAAACTCGGGAAATTGTTAGTAGCGCCGGGACGCTGGCTGGTTCCCCAGTCGCGTGAGTGAGCGCCGGAGTTGATATGAATGTCGTTCACTGCATTTCTGGTCATTTGACCTTTCGTCACCATTACTGCACCGGCAATTTATTGACGGGTCAATTGTTGTTGGGGACTCAATTACCAATGTGTATTTCTTAAGGAACTGGTCGTATTGCGTACAATTTAATAATGGTGACTTCAGACAAGATGACCACAGTGCAGTTCTTCAGGAACTAGTTTCCTGTGTAAGGCCGAGAGCTGGTTGTACACGCAGTGTACTCGGTATGCGAGTTGTTGCTGTAACATTGACCTGCTCCTCTGGACATATATAAAGAGCTTTCTAGCTCATCAGATCCCCCCCCTCCCCCCCCCCCCCCCCCCACTATAAATATTCTGATTCTCAGATTCTGTTGCTGCGTCTCCGGGCTGCGCTTGTCTTTGTTTTGATGGGTTCTCAGCATTCACCGATTTGAATCACAGCTGCTGTTAGAAGTTACATTCAACACTTCTATAGTGTAAATATCATGCTGCTTCCCATGAACACGAACAAGTAAATGGTGTTTTGCATGTGCCTACACTCCTGTTGCCAATAATATCTGGCAACACAGCAGCATGTTTAACAAGCAAGCCTACCGATGAGACCCAGAAAGTCAAAACTTATTTTTTTGATGGCCTAAACGTATTTGTCAATACAAAGAATGCAGTTCTGCTTTAATTTGAGGAACGTATGGTACCATGACTGAAGCACGTGGAATATCTCACCTGAATCAGGGCCATCAACACAGGTTAACAATCCTGTGCCTAGCAGGGATTGGCTGGACCGGCCTTGGAAACGATGACGAATCGGGACACAACCGTTGGGCCCTCATGTACGCGAGACGGTCATGAGGACCATCACCTTTGCTAGTCTAACAGCTGGCTCTGTAAGAGCGATACAATCATACACCCGAAGAAATAAGATCAGAGATTTACCCATACAGTATATATACTACAGCGCCCATGCCATCCTCAAACACTGAAGAATAATGCTGTCAATCCACTGCTGGATGAAGGCCTCCTTACACCGTGTCGGTCATGGGGTTTGCTTGACCATACTTCACCACGCTGGTCAGTGCAGGTTCTGTTGCCGGGAATATAATTCAGGTTGCCGGGGTTTTAAAAGGCCACAAGCTAACCGCTGAGGCACCCCTCCGTCTACCCGATAACTGTACGGAACATTAAGCCACCAAATCAAACACAATAAGAGCAGGGCAACGTGAGTGGAACATTAATATAACATTATATACACACACGTGAACCAAGTTGAAAATGACCCAGTGTAATGCATTTAATATAGCTGCCCCAAAGTTTTAGAACCATCTAGTTTCATCTCTTGACATGTCCATTCTGAAATCTGTCATTTAAACTATCAAAACAACTGAAGTTTGTCAATCTAATTTTACAATAATTGCTATTACCACGTGTTCTTTTTATATCTGTAATTGTGGAATTATTTGATGTCTGCCAGCCGAGCCGCCTAAGACTTCAGCTTCTTAGCTCAATGGGATTCACTTGTTGGGACATCTGGTTCCGATTGTAACGAATACACTTGGCTCTCATGCCCACGCCTTCGCAAATCGCCTGGGCAGGTTGTATCACTGCAGATTGTTTCGGCAGAACCCGATGTTGTCATTTAGCTCCTGAACTGATTTCCATGCGCAATGATAGAACGGCAGTTAAAACGGCCGCGATTGAAGGAGTCACGTGTACAGCATGGCTGTGTCGCGGCCACACGCACGGGTTGACCGGGCCTCTGCGAAGTGGGAGAGGGAGTCGTGACCTGATCGGCCTGGCCTCAAGAATGAATGGTCTGAAATGCATTAGGTCCCAGAAACGTTTAAGCCTGGGCATCAAATTGAGTCTACCAGTGCCTTCTTTGCAGAGTGTTCCACGGCCTGAAGGAAATTGCTGATTGTTATTAATACCATTAGGCCAGGGCCCAGCAGTAGACGAACATAAATTCCATCAATAAAAACTCAGGTGTGCAGCTGAAGCCACTGGATCTGGCAAGACCAGCAGTCACTTGCACAACATGTATACTGCACGAAGGTGTATGTGAATACACACAATCAACATTCCAAACAGTCCACGATGGTCGATAGCAATGTAACTCCTCCGACAGGAACGCGACACCACGACCTTCCCCGTACGAGGTCACCTCGTGAACGCTTCCCTCTGGTGCCCGCCCTCACCATGCAACCTGCACATACGCGGGAAAGCCACAGAGATGGCGGAACCGCGATTTCATGAACGTCTGTCCTTGGTTCAGTTGAGTTGCTGCAGTGAGTTTTGTGTTTGTGGATTTTATCTCTGCAATTGGTATTTATATTAAAATATATTAACCATACTATCAACGTGATAGGAATACGATTATCGCTTTACATGGTCCTGTGAGGGAAATAAATGTCTACCACAATGTGGGAATTCAACGACGTTTACTACAAAAAAATTACTGCTTCCCCCTATGGAAATGTGGAATTCCCACCACTAGCTTTAAGTCACTCCTAAGTCACTCTTGTCAAAAGGGACATTCCTGGTCTTCTGAGTTGTCACCTGGTTAACCAAATCACCTTAGGGCCCATAATGAAGCAGTTCTGACAACGCATCTGAGAATGGAGACAACTACTACAGGAAACTACTTAAAAATTTCAGTGAAGTGGCCTTTTTAATCTTCGTGTCCGTTAACTCACGGCGTCACATGTACGTATGTATCACTAAAGTGGCGAGTTGGTTCAGCATACAGCTGCACTCATCCCCCAGCTTCAGCGCTGCGTCTCGACGTCTTCGAGGCCATGCTCAGAGCGCCTCCTCCATCTCCTCGCACTACTTTGTGTTTTGAGTTAACAGCTGACATATCAAACATATCAAACGGCACATGATAACAATCATATTTCCATGTCAGCAGTTTGAGGGCGATGGTAGTGCAAACAAATATTACAACAAACCAGTATATATTTATGATACAATAAATGTATATTGCAATGCAGGTTCACCAATAGATGTCTGTCGCGAGCGATCGCAACCGACCAATCAATCCGGAACTTCACCCGCTCTCCAGGTCAGGTAACAATCACCATCAAACACACACATTTGCATTTTGTATTAAGATGATTTTAGGTGATTTGGTGTAAGGCCCCTTCCTTGTTCTCAAGTTATAAGAGTGATGATGGATAAATATTGTTCAATAACACATCCAGATTGTGATGCTGCCTTTTAAACGGTTCTATTCAAGCAACCACACATGTATGCATTCTAAAACAAAAACACAGTTGCCAAACACCACTGTATTTAAGACACGAGTTTTTAAAATGTACATTTAACATTCACGTCAAGGCTTGCTTTCCATAAAAGTTACGATTAATAAATAAAGTCAGGTAAAATTCCAATGAACCACACACATTCTCTATCTCTACCCATTGCTTTTTGTTACATATTGTTTTTTACAATAAATCCAAAGAGCGATACAAAATACACTCGCCATGCATTAATTAGATCACCCCCCCCTCCCCCCACTGTGGTCTGGCAGGTTGGGGACGGCACGGTTTTTGGTGGGTTGACATTTTGGGTTTCCTTTTACATAGGGGTAGAGCAACACGTTAAGGCTAATGTGGATACGGCCTGGCTCACATATCGACAGCGCCATAGCCTGAGCTGGACACGGGAACTGGAGCTGTATGAAGAGGGGGTACAGCAACCCACGATGCGTGCACTTTTCTTTTGACAATTTATCAATATGCACGCTCTTGATTTTTGTAAAACATTAAAAAAAGGCCTGCCAAATGTGATCTCTGGTTCAGTCAGAACGCCAATCCTGACCATCGAATGACCACGGTCTCTGTGCAAATGTGGATTATTGTATCAGTTTGACTCGGCTCGACAACAACAATGCTCTGGTAGCTTGTGGTTTGGGGCAAATGTTTCCTCTTTCAGGTAACGCACGCATACATACACACAGGTGTTTCTCAATGGATAATTGGGAGCAATGACTTCAGACAATACCTTCCCCGGATGACAGCATTGCAATCATCACACTTTCCCAGGAGACCTCGTCACATGCCCGAGAAATCTCTCCCTGTAGTGGCAGCTCTGAACTAGTGTCAGAAACGACACTACCGTGGAATATACCAACATAGTACCTATTTAATTGACCTGGGATCCATAACCAGGATTTCAACTTTCAGATTGCAAGGCAAGTGCTCTCATTGCAGTGCCTCACAGCCTGTATTATATGCTGCCTGGTAGTTCAATAATTATCCAAACCACCTGCACGCATCTGAGTAGGTTGATGTGCACCAGAGCCAGCCAGCTCTTCTCAATTGCTAAATTTACGAATTAGTCTCTTCAGCTTCACGCAGGTTCGAGCGTGGCTTAAGTATAACGCGCAATGCTGATGAGGCTTGAGGCTGCGGCCCAATGGTTGCCCGTAAGGTTTGTGGATTGCCTTGAATTGTCACCACAGCCCAAAACAGGAAGCCTACGCCGCGTAGGAGCGCTACGCCGCGTAGGTGCGCTACGCCGCGTAGGAACACTACGCCGCGTAGGAGCACTACGCCGCGTAGGAGCACTACGCCGCGCAGGTGCACTACGCCGCGTAGGAACACGACGCCGCGTAGGTACACTACGCCGCGTAGGAGCACTACGCCGCGTAGGTGCACTACGCCGCGTAGGAACACGACGCCGCGTAGGTACACTACGCCGCGTAGGAGCACTACGCCGCGTAGGTACACTACGCGCTTGCACTGGCTGGTTAGGAATCCGAGCTCTGCACACCTTGCATCGACAGCGACACTAATTTGCATGACCGGAACATTCCGCTACTCCCATCATTGGGACTCTCCAAGATGCGAAATCGAATTACATATAAATGCACAACACTGAAAGATTCCCTGTGAAAGGCAGAATAATTCCACGTGTTTTAAGGGGTTTTTGTGCACTATATCCTAATTTAATTTATACAGCAGTCAATATGGTTTCACTTCAGTCAGTCTTTGAACAACGCTTATACATTCTACCAATAGAACATTTCAATGCTACATTGTAGACTATGCAGTCTCATGCAGTTTATCAATTCAACGTTACAATGTAATAAACATATTATACAATGTACCAAATGAAAATTACGTAGTTCGGTGAGGCATAAGTTCCGAGTGGCTTTAAGCCATATAAAATGAAATAAAAGGTTTGTAGAACTTAAAAAGAGAATGCAAAATAGACTTGAATCTTCAAAAATATATGCAGTCACCGAGGCTTATTCATGTCATTATCAAGATCTTGAATATGTTTTTAAAAAGTGACACATCAGTAAAAATGCAATAGGTACAAGGAACATTTCCCAAAAAATCCTGCAATTATGCATTCACAACGACAACAGTTACAAAATCGTAATGTCAAACGTTTGCAACTGCAAAGCTGGTACCGAGAATGAAAACAACACTTATACCGATGCACGTGAACGATTGCGTCACGAAGATGGCTTTCACCCCCCCCCTCACCTTGAAACACACAATAGAGTAAAGAGGCCACCTCCCTCCGGGCGTGTGACAAACAGATTCTGTCCCAGTCAAACACCGACATTCTACCAATGTGTGTGTGTGCTTATTACACCTGAGGTGCTGGACAGAAGAGCTTCTATAACAGGGTTTTTTTGGGTGAGACCACGTAAGTATATAAATGTGTCATTAAACCCGCCACCACCCGACACAGCCAATTAGTACGGTTTGTCACATAAACAGAACATGCCAATTCGTTACTAGTGCAGCACACCGATGTGTTGGGAGAGCAAATCCACAACATTTACAATCTGAGTACTTCGTTTTGCCAGTAATTACAACTAGCTTCATCACGTGACAAACCTTACTAATTGGCTGTGGCGGGTTAAATGACACGTATATTTATGTAATCTAACCCAAATAAAAACCTGTATTACGGATGATATTGGTCGCGAAAGCCTACGTGTTAGATGTTCTATTTACAACCGCTTAAAAAAATATTCGATTAAAAAAAGACCAGGCTTACTAAAAACGTGAGCATGGACTCAAATAAGGAAATGGCTTGGCAATCCAATGCGTGACCCACAACACATATTTGTTTAAGCACGTGAGAGGCCACAGAGAGTGCCTCACTTACAAGGGAAATGTGGGAAACTGTTCACCTGCAGGGACAGTTACTATGCTTTCATAATTTCAGTTGCAGCTCAGCGGCGTTTGGAACGGGGCATCTGCAGGAGGTCCATTCTCCTCTAGCAAACGGCAGTGTCCCCTTTATGTCCCCACCTGCCCCTTCTTTCAGGGGCAGCTCCCTGGGGTGGCTGGGGAGGGATTTAAAGTGAGAGATCATGACAGCTGACGTCCAATCCCCCAATTTTCTCCGTCAACATTTGTCCTCCAAAGGTTACTCTTACGTTCCCATCAACACTGGACTGACTTCAGGTATTTCCTTGGCTCTCCGACCTCTGGAGGCCACTCCACTGCTCACTTCGGTGACTTGCCCTCCTCCACCCTGCACACGATGTCCCGCCCATCATAACATTCTCCCCTTCCTGCTTACATCCGCAATACTTTCTTGCCAAGATGCATTTTAGGTTTGGCCACGTAGTAGTTTCATGCCAAAGTTCTTGTCATCAACCCTCCACCACCTGACAAGAATTCAATTTTTACAAAGTTAGAATTGTTGTGCCAATGTATTGATTAAATTGTGACCAATAAAGTTCCTCCACCAGTGGCTTGAGACTCATCATGACTGAAATTAACATGAACGTATAATCGAACGTATAGTTTCAGTGTTGATGTTAATTTCAGACGTGAAATCTCAAGCCACCAATAAGGTGATTTATTCATCAGAATTTGATCATATTTTGGCATGTATACATAATATCTTTGTAAATGTGACAATCCTGTTGGGTGGTGGATGGTAAACGACAAGCATTTTGACATAAAACTACCATGTGGCCGAACCCAAAAGCAAATATGAATCATTGCATTTTAAGTTAACTTTATTGCCATGTTGTGCTTTGAACTTTCAAGTTACTTATCCAATTTCTAGCGTTCTTCAAACTCATCTGCAATAAGCCAAAACAACGCACAGAGAGCTCGGCCACCCAGTCACCGCCAGTGAGCTGCTGTCGATCTTTGCAATGAAGATTTTAAATGGCCATTCGTATCTTTGTCCTGTGTCCATCCACGGTGCGTCCCGCTGTTGTGAGATTGTTCCTCGTCTAACCGAGATGGCCAGAACCGCACAAGGTAAACGGCAAGTGTCGGGCCGCAAAAATGGCAGTCAAAGGAAGACGATGCACCAAGTAGCAAGGGCTCCACCCTGCTGGATTAGCCTGATTCGCAATCACAGGAGTCCTCCTACCATAGGTCCCATTAAGCGCTTAGGGAACTTTTTTTGCGTGATTTTTTTTATTGTCAGAGAACTTGTTTAATCTGCTAGCCTATGAGGCTCTTGCGGTTTCCACGGAAACGTGGCCACGCTGAAAGAAATACAAATAAATATAAAATATAAAAACACGTTTTTCAAAAACAACTATTCATTGCAATCAATTCACACACAGGAATGTTATTGTACATGGGAACATTTACACAAAAAATCCTGCTCAAAGAATGTAAACTTCAACATGAGTAATACAGTTATAACACAGTATATTAAAAAAAAAATACTTTTATAACAACAGTTTAGAGTAAATTGTACATATTTCCCTTTACTTGCATTCAGTATACAGCGTACTGGCACAGTACTAGCTAATTTGTGTTTAAATAGGAACTTAGTTTAAGGACCGAGGCAGAAAATATTAAAATCCTACTGAGTGCATTTTCTGAAGCAAGCTCAAACTCATTTGGAGCCGACTGCAAACTTTCGGATTCAAATCCACAGGCACATTCCTGACTTTAGTGGTTGGACATTCGGGCAATGGTGCTTAAAAACCTTCGCCCATCAGATAATTTTGCATCTCATCGTCCCCAGGACTGCTAAGCGCATGTAGCAATTCATGATGTGGGGGGGGGGGGGGGTCACAATTTATATTGGGATTTTTTTTGCCATCTCATTTATACAGCGTTGTTCAATCATCATTAACCTAAAATGTAACAAAATTGTATTTAATTAGCCTACGTTTGCGTGGATAGTAATTCATTTGTATGTACGTCATTCGATAACAATTGATGTAATCGATGCGTTGCTACAAACCTAATGCCCACCATGTCCACGAGCCAAAGGGCTCCACAACAGGCCACGTGCTCAATCAATGAGTTTACCTGGCCACCACTCAGGCCCGCGCGGCGGGTCCACTTTTGGCACAGAATTCCTCAGAGGTTGTGAGTTGTTCTGGATTGAACTCATGAGTTCAGGCTATATTTTGAAAATTGGCAGGAAGGCACTCTTTGCGTGGAGAAGGTGGACACAGGCAGAGTGGCAGGCTGAGAGGCTGACAGGCCCAATGAGCGTCACAGAAAACACTCAGCACAACACTAGGGGTACCGTGTTCGAGGCAGCATGCTGCCACTGTAAGAGATTGGTACAGTGAATCCCATACTATTCCTCTGACTTTCATAGGCAATCAGATTTCTGCTACTTAAAATGTACCAGTTGATTACTTGGTATGATTTACTTATTTCATTTCAAGTAAAGAAACTCTTATAAAAATAACATGTCATTTGGAAAATGACCAATCCAGTAGCTTGGGTTTATGTGAGGACAGCAGCAGCACCCAATGAATAAAGCAGCCAATTAATGTAATCAGAGAGCCCATAATATCACATCACAGCGCTGTTCATCATGGGCTTAAAAATAAACGTGCTAATTTGAACAGGGAATCATAAAAGAAATCAACTGACATTTCTATCGAGATACCAGATTATGTTTTAAGTTGAAATCCTTTTCAAACAGAGTGAGCAGGAATCGGAGACCATTTTCTTGAGCGAGGTCACCCTCTCAGCACCACACACACATGCGGACAAGAGGCAACCATCGCAACCGGATACACGGTCAGATCGGGCCCCAGACAAATCTCCCCTCGGCCCCTGGCAGCAGCAGCAGCATGCACAATCGACATTCAGGAGGTGGGTTCTTGATTAGAATGGTTGGAGGTTAGGAAGTGGGGTTGGGGTGGAGGCTGGGGCCATGACCGGGATCGTGTGGAAGGCACCGCTCTATGATCGATGACAGGGTTGGTAGGATCCACCAAAGGTTATGGGCAGAGTGGAAAGTTCAGCGTTGCAGTTAAGGCTGGCCGGGCAGACATGAGTGAGCAGGCATGGCCGATTGTCTTTTGCAATCCTCAGTGCTTGCGCTTAAAGTGTGCCTCGGCTGTAGACATGGAAAAGAAGGGAAAACAGAAACAATGGAAACAAAAGAACAGATATGAAATAGGGAACCACCGAGCCCGCATGCAGGTCATGTCACCGCGGCCCCGTCGCCAGGATTTCCGCACACGTGTTAGTGCCGTGCGCCCAGACACTCAGTGACAATCGGCACCAGACCCCAGCACCGCGGCCCAAGCACCAGGCCCATGAGTTCCATGCAAAGGAAAGAACATGCCAAGCAAGGCCGACGGCATGCAGGTCGTCGTGGGGAATGGGTTCGCAGGATGAGGCGAGGGGTAACGGGGGACAAAGAGGGGTGCGGGTTGAGAGGGTCATGGGTCCGGGAAGTCGGCCACGAGCCAGGGAGGAGGGTGCAAGAGAGTGGGTGGCCCGACTGTTGCCATGAGCGAGGCATCTGTGGTGAAGGGAATTTTGCATGGACACGACTTACCACGACAGGTGACTCCAGGAAGAATTTCACTGCTCCCCTACTCCATTTCAATTCCCTCCTTGGCAATCACCTCAATATCGATAATACCGAATTACTAATTATACCTTATCCATAATACAAAATTTGGTCCTATTTTTAAAGCATAACCTTCGCTCTAGACTTAGTCTAGTAGTCATTTTAAAACTAGCTGCGTGCATTCGTCAGAACCCTCATGATGATAAGTGAGTGATGCGTACTTTACTAGCTCTCAAAACATTTCCTTTTATAGTTTTCTTTAATTGCTTTAATATTATTATATTTATTTTCCACAATTCATTCCACATATGCTATTAGTACCACATCACCATGGGAAAAGTTATATGTTCCAAAATCTCAACCAGAGGATGGCCGACTTCTGAAAAATCCTTTAAGTGGCCTATTTATCTATTACACAGTAGGGTGGGCACTTTCCAACACTGCTATGAGAGTGTCACATGACAAACTGATACATATAATTCTCAGAGCTGGAATTTAGCCAAATTAAGTGCAAAACCAACCCTCAATGTGTTTTTTGTTATTGCAGTCATTGTCGAATGAGCTGAGCTAACTAACCACCCGCTATACGGGCTGCCTGGATTCATAGCCAGGATCTCAGCATTGCCCGCTCAACGCTTTGACCTCCGAGCCATCCGGAACGTCGGTCGGGTTCATTTAATCCCAGTGCAAGTGAACGGGAGCCCCTTTGGTTTATGGCCCTTAAATGAAATTGAATGGCGTTTACCGTCTGGTCTGTGGGTTGTTTGGCTTTATAATTGAGATGTAGTCTCGTGGCTCAGACGGCTCAAGTACGGCTGTGTCAGAGCTTTATTGAGAGCGAATAAGGGTTGCTTTAATTTTCGGATCCCAATGAAAGGTAATGGAAGTCATGGAACTACATTCATTGTTTTTTTATTACACATATAATGGGGGTGAACTTTGGATTTAAACATGTCGAATTATTTTGGAGAATTTCAGAACTATTTAATAATTTCAGATCCTTTCCAATATATTCTGCAACTCATTTAAAAGGTCTTTGTCCAAACTTAGTGAGGTCACCTGATACCGCATGATGCCGCTTTTGGCAGAAAAAGCGTGAGAGTGAGGGTCACTCTTCACATGGTGTCACGGTTTTTGTATCAGTCCAAAACAAACCTCAAATCGTCCCAAATTTCGTATTTAGGCCTGATCTTTTAGATTTCACGGATTAATATGAAAATTGGGAACACATCCTGAATACATAACCAGGTCCAATTATTTTTTTATTTAAAGCTTTCGTGGCTGCAGGGATTCATATTCTTGGTTCTTTCGGTAAAGTCACGTAGAAGGGAAACAATAAAATAATAAAAATATAAAACAAGAAAATTTTCACGACGTTGACTGCAACACAATCAATCATCATCAGGTGTGAAAACCACAGTAAGAAAATTTGAAAAAAGTGGCGTTTTTTTAAATGTTAGCACCACGGAGAGCGATTTGGCAGTTATTCAGATGGACGAGTCCATCTATGTTCAGAAAAGAGGAGGGGGGAGACGAAAATAATGGATGCGGTCTGAAAGCCACCGTAAGCGTGAACAATCAATTAAGACCCGAAATGGTTTATCAAATCCTTCCAATTATTGCTAAGCCAGAATCCATCTTCTCGATTGAAATTGTCTGTGTTTGTATATGTGGATAGCCTCATGAACGAATCTCTCATGGTAGCCAGATGGCTTGCAAATAACCTCTGTCTTGGAGAAGTCAATGTCATGTGAGCCTACTGAATTATAACAGTGATCTGCCACGGCCGAAGTGTTGGTTCTACCGTGTTTTAGGTCTGCTTTGTGTTCACGAATGCGGTCCGAGACATGTCGTTTGGTTTCTCCAATGTAACTACTACCAAAGAGGCAACTTAGTTTGTAGACGCCAGGGTACTGTATGTCCGGAATCACATCTTTTACAGACGGAACCAGATCACGGATTTGATGTAATGTGTTGAATCGGACCTGGATCTTGTGTTTATTCAAGATTTTGGAGATCTTTTTTGTGATCCCCGCAATGTAGGGTAAAGTGATGGTTTGAAAGGCTCTTCAAGAGGGTCCTTCTTCAAGGGTGGAGTGATAGCTTTGCGGATTGTGTAGTCGGAGTAACCATTAGCCTTTAGGAGCTTGGTGTACGTGCTTGAGTTCACTGGCTATGTGTTCCTGGTCGGATATGCATTGGGCTCTATGGTGCAGTCTTGATGAGGGAATTCTTCTGGGATGGATGGTGGTGGGAATCCGGTTTCAGGTAAGCATCCGTATGGGTAGCTTTCCTGTAGACAGAGCGGCTCATTGAACCATAAGGTCTCTTTTTTTTATTAGGACATCCAAAAAAGGTAGCTTGCCATCTTTTTCGACTTCCATGGTAAATCTGATGGCTGGGTGTATGGAATTGATGTGGTCGAAAAATTGGTCTAGAGCAGGCCGGCCATGTGGCCAGATGACACTTTTGTCATCTGGCCACATGGCCGGCCTGCTCTCGACCCATGGCCGGCCTGCTCTAGACCAACACTTTAGTCATCTGGCCACATGGCCGGCCTGCTCTAGACCAATTTTTCGACCACATCAATTCCATACACCCAGCCATCAGATTTACCATGGAAGTCGAAAAGGATGGCAAGCTACCTTTTTGGATGTCCTAATAAAAGAGACCTGATGGTTCAATGAGCCACTGTCTACAGGAAAGCTACCCATACGGATGGTTACCTGAAACTGGATTCCCACCACCATCCATCCCAGAAGAATTCCCTCATCAAGACTCTGCACCATAGAGCCCAATGCATATCCGACCAGGAACACATAGTCAGTGAACTCAAGTATGTACACCAAGCTCTAAAGGCTAATGGTTACTCCGACTACACAATCCGCAAAGCTATCACTCCAACCATGAAGAAGAACCCTCTTGAGGAGCCTTTCAAAACCATCACTTTACCCTACATTGCGGGGATCACAAAAAAGATCTCCAAAATCTTGAATAAACACAAGATCCAGGTCCGATTCAACACATTACATCAAATCCGTGATCTGGTTCCGTCTGTAAAAGATGTGATTCCGGACATACAGTACCCTGGCGTCTACAAACTAAGTTGTCTCTGTGGTAGTAGTTACATTGGAGAAACCAAACGACATGTCTCTGACCGCATTCGTGAACACAAAGCAGACCTAAAACACGGTAGAACCAACACCTCGGCCGTGGCAGATCACTGTAATAATTCAGTAGGCTCACATGACATCGATTTCTCCAAAACAAAGGTTCTTTGCAAGCCATCTGGCTACCATGAGAGATTCATTCATGAGGCTATCAACATATACAAACACAGACAATTTAAACCGAGAAGATGGATTCTGGCTTAGCAACCATTGGAAGGATTTGATCAACCATTTCGGGTCTTAATTGATTGTTCACGCTTACGGTGGCTTTCAGACCACATCCATTATTTTCGTCTCCCCCCTCCTCTTTTCTGAACATAGATGGACTCGTCCATCTGAATAACTGCCAAATCGCTCTCCGTGGTGCTAACGTTAAAAAAATGCCACTTTTTTCAAATTTTCTTGCTGTGGTTTTCACACCTGATGATGATTGCTTGTGTTGCATTCAAAAGTCGTGAGAACTTTATTGTTTTATATTTTTATTATTTTATTGTTTCCCTTCTACATGACTTTACCGAAAGAACCAAGAATACAGGTACAATTATTTACAGAGAGTAGCAATGGGAAGTACGACAAAAGGCTGACTGGACGACTGAACCGACCCGACCCGCCCCACCGTTATGCCACTTGCCACGACGACACCACTCACCCGAGTACTCCTGCGGCGACATGGGGCGCATGATGACGCGGTGGAAGTGCGTGATCCACTGCGCCTGCTCGTCCTCGGTGCGGCAGCCCAGCACGTACTTGCGCTCGGGCGTGACGATGGTGATGCCGTACGCCCAGTGATGGCCTTGGAGGCCCGGCGGGAAGCCCTCCAGCACCGCGTAGCCGTGGTCGCCATTGCCCAGGAACACCTCGCCCTTGGCAAACGCGTCCTTAGCCCGGCCACAACCGCATGCGCCACCGCAACCGCCGTCCGGCATGGGTGGGGAGGAAAAGAGTCTCCGTTAGTTATTGTATAAACTAGAGGCACTCTGGTGGCTTAAAGCATTCATATCGACCTTGCCAGTGCCGACACAAGACAAGCGGTTCTACCCACGTCTGGGAGCTGACAACGGCCATGTCAGAGCGATTGCCAAAATCCTGGGTTCAAACGACGAAACTCTCCAACTCTAAAAAAAAAAGTTCCACCACGTTCACGAGCATTGGGCGGTGTTCAGTGCCGTTTGTGACCCTGAGGCAATGGTGGAAATTCTACATTGCTTTAGTGGCAGTCAGGCATTGTTGACTTCCCACAGAGGGGTACTTATTTTACAAGAGATTGGGAACGTCAAGGGGCTGAATTGGTTGAATTGACTCCCAACCAGGATTTTAACATGCAACTTTTCCACTGCGTGTTGAGCAGCCTACGGATGTACGTTGAACTTATTTCGCGCCATACGTAGCCAACCGTGATAATCGGAGGTGCCGGAAAAGGACAAACTAAACACAAAAAGCAGTTCTATAGAGTTTTCTATTTAGATTTAAGTGCGCATAGCTTCAGTGGCTTTCTAATATTGGACGAAAGAGCCTTCCAGATGGCCGCAGAAGCGCATCTGAAAGCGCGCAATGCAGTGACCGTCTTTATTGGATGGTTAGCCCAACAAGTGGTAAAGGACCGATGGGAGTCAGTGAAATGCAGTGGATGTGGTCCAGGCAGTCCTATGGGTTCGGGGGGTTGGAGTGGCCCCATTTTGCAGATTGGAAGGGGGGGGGGAGGCAAACAAGAGACTTGAATCCCCACTAAAATCTCTGAACAGAGGTAGAAGCGAATGGACTTGTGCGAGTACACCATGTATACAGGGACTGTAAAACAAAATAATAATAAACAAATATAATGTACCGTACTGCAGATAACTACAGTAAAGGCACTGTAACTAAGTTGGATGTTCAAAAATGTAAATAATTTGTAATCTGAGGCATGGATCCAAACCCACGAAACTTGCTTCATTAAACCAAGCTGCCTTGTGTGTCGCATTCCCTTGGCTACAGCTCCTCTCTAGCAGCCCGTGCTGCTTTTTCCTTGACGTAGCCTGCATCAGCACCCGCCCCCCTCCCACAGTCGCCTCCCGCCCCCATCTCGAGTCGGTGAGTCCCCCCCCATGTCTATGTGCAGCATCGCGGTGGTGTGCATGGGGCGGTGCTGGCGCCCACCAGGGGATCCTTGAAGTACATGAGGCGTCGGTCGGCGGCGTCCAGTGTAAACCAGCGTCGCCGGAAACTCTCCTTTTGCTGCCCACGCGGAAGGAGCACACGCAGCCCAGCGAACCAGCCGGTGCAAGTATGGCACATACACAAAGATCCCCCCCCGGCCGTTTAGCCTATGCAAGTTGTCAGGGCCCACGCAAGTGCTGTCAGCCAGCGCCTATTATGGCCGGCATGGCACAAAAGGCGGTGGTTGTGACAAGCACCACACCCGGCCACCTTTGTGTCTCTCCCCAGTGGTTATCTTATAACACATTGCACCAGGTACTCATTTAAGGCCGATGCGACCTAGCGGAGGCCCAGTACTGGTTCAAATAGGTGCCACGGATATTAGCGATGGTTGGAAATTTAACTTCGGTCGCTGTGTTATTAGCGCAGTGTGCTAACCACGACGCCAATGCTCCCTACTGTATACACAACTTTCATTTTGAAACTGTCAAGTCAGGCAATTAAACATCTCCAAGAGGCACACAATCACACACACACTGAGACAAGTATGGACACGGTCACGACTCGTGTTTGCACTGGAAACTACTGCGAGCCACATCTCTCTCTACACTCAATACATTTCAACATGTAGACCACCATGCAGAATGCAGTGTATGGGATTGTGCATTGAACTGCACACACGAGTGAGGAGTTTAGCATAATGCTAATCCGCACAGTAATCTGTAGACAGGTAGATGTGTCGATTGTGTTTGACAGGTGTGCAGTCTTCCTTTGTGTGTCAACTGTAACAAGTACCAGAAGCCTGTGCACCACGCTCTGTTGTTGGAATAGCACTACGTCACCATGTGCGTGCTGTGCTTTAGTTTCCCATGTGAAGCCGCAGGCTGGAAGGGTGTGTGCCATGGCATGCGTACCTTGGGCCCCGTCTTCTCCATGTATCCCTCCTTCACGTAGTTCCTGGTGAGCCGTGGCGTTATCTGGCAGAAGAGACAGCAACATCCTCAGCAGTTAAACACAAAGCCTCAGTGAGGCAACCTCTCCGCTCAAGCGTTCGTCACGCGCTACTCTGGATGTCTTCAGGAGTGGATTCAATGTGCAACCCAACCGAGAAAAAAAACACTTGGATGTAAAAAAATCTACGCGTTAAACCACCCACCCTCCACAGGGGAAAGGTATGTTAGCTATTAGCAGGAATATCAGGCATTTTTTTCTTATTAAGCTTGTTTACCCAGGAATACCTCAGCAAGACAACCAGACTAATTTTCAGGAGAGACCTACCAAGTTGCCTCATTTTGGTTTGTCAAGTTTTAGAAGCTATAGTATGCAATGTATGGCAACGTCATGAAGTGCACCATGCCATGAGTATTAATGAGCAAGTGGGTGGCAGCGTCTCGCAGATGAAACAGGAGCGGGCGAGCACTCGTCAAACCGTCGATGAGCCGGAACCCTGCCCAACCGCCACCCGGCTTCTCACTCACACGAGAGAACGGCACTTTAAGCACCACAGGCTATGAAACAAATGACAACAGTTACACGTTTGTGACTGTTGCCATTACAAGAAGTGTTTATGTGAAACCAGGATGGCCACTGTAGCCTTTCTGTATGTGGAGCTCGTCAAGGTGCAGAGAAAGTACCGTATATAAACGTGAGCCCGAATACAGTGGTGAGCCGTAATGCTCCTCTGCCCCAAATTGGCACCAACAGTTGACTGCTCACCAAATCCCACGGACTCATGGAAGGATCCATTGCCTCCATTTAAACTGGTAACAACCAGCAGAGACTTTTCCATGGGAGGTAAACAATCACTACAGCAAACAGCAACAAAAGTTCCTGAGGCCAAAATAACTCATATTGCAGAAATCTAAATGCAGGTCGGGGCTATGTAACTATAACTGATAAAAGTACGTGTAATTCGTAGACTAGTGTTTCCTTGCCGAGTATTGGGTCTAAACAGCACATTCCACATTGACTGTGAAAGTGCGATGTTCAATGTAAACAGATGCAACCATGTAAACAGATGCAACATTGATTAAAAATGAATGTGGAACATCCATATTTAGCGATGACCTTCAGGACTCGGCTTATGAAGTTACATCTCAAGTCATATGGGTTTGCTTTTTGAGTTTTTGGCCTGGCAGCCGAATTATAATAATGAATAATATTTTTACTTGTAACGTGCAACACAGTATTCACTACTTACTCTCGGAGAAAGAGTACGATTCAGAGGCACGTGAAGGAACCATAGACAGCAAGCAGGAAAGGCAGCAGCCACACAGTGACCTGGCACTACCAACAATTTCCCCTTAATATCTTAACCCTGTTTCGTTCCCAGACATCTGCAAGTTGCAGGGTGAGTGTCTCGTTCACCGCTTCATCTCTGAAAGCGTAAGCGGCTCAGCGTTCATTTTATGAAGGCGTAGTAGCGCCGTTGTTTTTGAATATATTGTACTCACCGGAGAGAAACGTAGCGACACGACTGCACTCTATGATAGCTGACGCCAAACTTGTCACACGCCCTCCCCCGCATGGCCTTGTGGGAGCCTCGGTACCGATAAAGTTTGTTCATTTTCGTTTTTTTTCTGGTTCCATTCCGATGACATGCATGTACGTCATCGGAATAGATGACGTACACGGGGAAACTTTTCAGCCAATTAATGAGTGTGTGTGCATGCAAGAGGAAACCGGAGCACCCGGAGAAAACCCAGGCATGTGAGGGCGCAACACCTCTATCCCATAGAGATGGAACAAACGGATATTAGTTTACACTTATACTACCTCCTCCTGGTGAGCCAGGGTCTGTCCACCTCGACAGCTCATGGAAAGGGAGTTTTCACAACGTTTGTGTGACCCCCCCCCAACCCTCGATGCTGCCTCCAGTGCTGGATTACAGGCCACGTGCATGGCGGCCACCACCACCTGCCTGTAATCTCCAACATGGTGGCACTGTGGATAGAGCTCTTGCCACACAACTGGAATTCCACGAGAAAATCCTGGTCAGGAATTAATTCAAGCCATCACCTCCGCTTAGGAGTCTTATAAGATAAATAAAACTGCACAGGTAGTCACCAGCGGGAATCGTGTGGCGTGAGCGAGGCCAATCACACGACTGTAGGTTCCACCACTGGCTCAGACACCAATGAAAAAGACGCGCGCCGCCTCGCTGCTCGTCTGAGCAGAGATTCTTGAATTCTGCCAAGAGACACTTGACCTCTCACCTCCTTGTCGACCGTGCCTGGGTAGGCCACCTTCAGGTAGTGGTACCGTACGGCGCGGATCGCATTGAACCAGTCCACGATCACCTGTGCACCCACAACGCGCCACACGCCACGATTTTCCATTGAGTTTGGATTTGGCCATGTAATGATTTTGCCAAATTTGTGTCGCTTAGACCCTCCATCACCCAACAGCCAAACATTAAAAATGTCTTAACGACGCCCCTTTGGCGAGATCGTTACGCGAGATCAACCCAAAAAACAATTACAAATCATATTGGCTGAGAAAATCCAAGTGTGAAGTAAATAATTCACCATTTCACACACCAACAAACAACTATATCACATATACCACAGCAAAAACCACATCCAACAACCACATCACATACCAACTGACACACATCACGCAAATAACCATATCACCACACCACAAACCACACCAAAACAACAGCCGCCATTCGTCACAAAGTGGCAGTGACGTCACCACGATGCCAGTGTCAGGCCAAGTGCACTTTGAGGCCACGTGAAGTGTCAAAGGCTCACTGACTGGAGTTCATGGGACAGACCCATGTGCCATTGGTTGACCGACTCAGATGACTGGCAGATGCACTAGATGTGCCCCCTACTTTGGTAACTTACTGCATTTTAGCTGCCCGGTGGTCCCCTCATTCTTTTGAGTATCGCTTCTACACCCTCTGAATTTGCTGGAGGGCGTCTGTCTCAAACTGTCCAGTGGCATCATTCATGAGCCTCTTCCACAGAGGTTGATGTTGAGACCTCTGGTACCAGACTTCAGCAAGTGCACTCAGCTCCACATCCTCCTGTACCACATCAGTCCATCTCGTTTCTAGTCCATACAGTACCCGTTTAGATCCCTCTATCCAGCCAAACAAGCTGCTTGGGGGCATGCGTTGGCTGGGCATTTCGGGCGACATGACCCAGTCAACACAGCCTTGGCTACCGGAGGAGCTGACTGATTGGTTTGTGACTAGATCTTTCAAGAAACTGTGAGTTGCTCACACAATCCAGTCTGGTTAAACCCAGGAAAGATCGTAGGCAGGCCAACTGGTGCAAACGTTCCATTAGAGGGGTCCACGTTTTGCAAGCATTGCCAAGGGAGGGCATAACTATGGGAGAACCAGAGTTTCATGTGGAGTAACAGGCCACGTAGCTTCCACACAGTGTTCAGCAGCTGAAGATAAAATGCCCCTCTGCTGATTCAGAGTGATAGCTCCGCTGCCAAACCGGAGCAAGTCATAAGCACACTGCCCAGGTACGGAAACTTCTCCACCCTCACCATAACTGTCCCATCACGAATGAGAAGTTAAGGGGGTGCAGTATTTGATGACATAAATATACCCAGACAGGTGCTTAGTTTTTGTGGAGCTGATGGTAGGGCCCTATCTCTGAGTGGCATGCTCCAAGTTCAGCAGCAGCAATAATTACCAGACCAGCAGCATGCATAACACAGTTCACCAAAAGGCAGCCCTTCCTTGAGCGCACCCGGGCATCGATCAGCCTCCCATTGTATCTGTACCAGACGGAAATTCCTCTGGTACAGCCATGGAAAGCTCTAGAGCTATGTGGTCAATAAAATTTTACCAGGACCTGCCCACCATCATGAAGGCCCTTAATGATTGGCCTAATGATGGTATTATAGGCCTTGACCAGGTGAATAAAGCAAATATGTAGGTCCCGTTGAAATTACCTACACTTCTGCTGTAGCAGATGGACAGAGAATATGGTGTCGGTTCAAGACCACCCCGGTCTGAAATCACATTGGGGCTCTGCAGATCTTTCCTCCGCGTGATTTGTAATCTAGGCAGTTGTTATTATGCCATATGAACAAGTCTGTACACAAATGTCACCATCCATCAACTATTCGCTTAGGAGATTATTTCTGCTCGGCACTTTTTCTGGTATCTGACTATCTCTAGAACAAGAATTGGAATAGGTGACAAAGCCTTTGCCGTTGCAGCACCAACGTTTTAAAAAACCTTGTTTCCTCCCATAAGATCGTACAACTTCCTTTAAAAACATCCTGAAGCAGAATGTTAGTGCCAGATGCAGCGACATTTGCAAATGTGATTTGTAAACTTTGAACCTTACCCATATATTGAAAGTAAAATTTTAATGTGCTATGTAAATGAGGGATTGTGTGTTGTCTTGGTGTGGTCTGGGACTATTGTTGTTTTTCTGCGTTGTGTAAGCCTGCAATTTGGTGTTGACAAATCGGCAGGAATTTTAGGTACTTGTGAAATTTGTACTTCCATGCCTTATTTATAGTTATTTATTTTTACCGACTTGCTTACCTTTTCTCTATCTTACAATCATAATCGGCTTTTGTATTTCTTGTTGATGTAACTTGCTGACCCACCCTACTGGATATCTGTAAAAAAGAGCTTCATAGCTCATGGGATTCCTCCAAGATAAATAAAGATTCTGATTCTGGATTTCTCTTCATACTTTCTCAACAGATTGCACATCAGCTGGCCACTCACAGGTGGCGGCTATTTCCTCGAATATTTGAGGCACAGCAGCCCTAGTAAGTTCATCCCCCACCTTGCCCCATAATGTTAACTGGGCTAAGGGATTTTCCCTCCAACAAGACGTCATAGAAATGCTCAGCAAACCTGCACACCTGTTCCTCGGGGTCAAATATCCCTGTTCTTTCCCTTAAGAATGGTAATAAGTGTGGCACTGCAAGTTACGTTTTTGATAAAATTAAAGAGTTATTTGTGATCGCGAGCTACTGAGGAATTTTCCATTTCCTGAACAACCTGCGACCTTCACTCATTCTTGCAGCGCCGCACAGCTCTCTGAACCTCCCGAGTAAAAGCTGTGGTAAGCCTCCTCATTGCTTAACGTTGGATGTTGTAGATCGTGGGAGGCAGCCTGTCGCTTTCTTTCAACTAACCGGAACACCACATCTGTCCGCCATGGTCTCAGATAATCGTCACTGGTGTTGGCCGTGAGCGGGAATCGAACTTGGGTCACCGGATTTGTAGCGCAATGCGCTAACCATTGCACCACTGCTGCACAGGCACCTCACACTATATCACGCACCCCAAGATCAAACAACATCATACAACCACATCATACCACGTCACAAACCAACATAACACGCACCGCACAACGCACAGGTCAGAAAATCCCCAGCGTGAGCCGGTAGCGCCAGCAACATGAAGAGGCAGCAGAGCGAGCAGCAGCCATTGGGTACAGGGAAGTGGGCATTGAGTAGTGAGAGTTGTGTATTTAGCATTGAGCAGTGGGCAGGGGGAACTGGGGAATGGTTTGTGAGCAATGAGCGTGGGGCAGCAGGCCCACCTTGCCCTCTTCGTGGTAGACAAAGAGACTGCGGGTGCTGCCATCCTTCAGGTAGGTGACCTGCAGGCCGTTGGGGTTGCCGATCTTGTCCGGCTGGAACGTTGCATTGATCTCGGCAATTTTCAACTCGTCCTTGGGCTCCTTCGCCTGCCGCAGGCATGGGGTGACGCATCGGCACTCGGTCACCAAACCTACTTTGCTGCACTGCCTCTTGGAGGTGGTACAATAATAATAATAACTTTTAACGCGCACAATTTTGCTAATGGACGAAAAAGTTGAAGAGCAAATCGCAGGTGCGGAGCCTAGCTCAGAGTTGAAAGCTTGCTGGAACAAGTACGTTCCGGTGACGTATGTGTACATAATTATATCGGATAACTTTAGCGGTATTAAGGCTCCCACAAGGCCATGCGGGAGGGAATGCGGAAGAGTTTGGTGCCAGCTATCATAGAGTGCGATCATGTTGCTACAGTTCTCTGCAGCGAGTACAGTCCAATGTCTTTAAAAACAATGGTGCTGCTACGCTTCTAAATAATATTAATGCGAACCACTTGCACATTCTGAGATTCAGCGGTGAACGGGCCCCACCCTGCAACTTGCAGACGTCTCGGAACGGGAAAGCATTAAGTGCGTTTTTAAAGAAGTTGGTGATTGTACATTATGTATATGGGGATGGAGTTCCACATGGTGGAAGCAATTACGGAGAAGTGACAGTCGGCAGTCACAGTCCATAAATTTGGGGATGAGCAGATTGAGAGATATGCCGTGAGGTACATTGCGATTATTTTCCAAGGGAAAAGACGGTAATGACGCCAAGTCCCTTGGAAGACAACGGACAGCATCCTGCCAGGTGTTCTGTGGTTCTGTAGTTTGAGTGCTCAACTGAAAATTGGAAGCTTTTGAGTTCAAATACAGCGGACCACTCTGAGACACGTCGCCAGTGGCCGCCCTGTACAGACTGCAGGAATGTCCACAGCAGACACTCATATAGCACTCAGCCCTTAAAACCTATGCCATGTCAGATGCATGTATGAACAAGGGAATGGCAGTGGAGGAGCTCCTAACAACAACAGGACCCTGTTACTCATGAGGCTGGGAATGAGACCACCGGGCGCGCTTGGGAGTTGAGCATCAACGCACGGGTATGGACGCCGCCTCATGCAGCCCGATTCGATGAATGATCTGTATCGGCCAATATTTGCCAAAAACGTGCCGACGAGTTCCTGCCGATCCCCAAAGATGCACTCACGTCGCTCTTGGTGAAGTACTTGAGCACCCCCTCACGCTCCGACAGGATGAACTTGCGACGCAGGAACTGGCTGCTGTCCCGTCCGCGCTTCCACAGGTACCCCTCCCGGTAACCTGCGTGCAGGGTTGATGAGTCGAGGGGGCACAGGGGTCACAAGGTGATCACACATGGGGCGATAAAAACATCGCGAGGAAAATAACAAAACGAACACCCCGACACCGTCCATCACACCCCCATGGTGGATAGGTCATTACTTTGTGGTGATATTTCTTATTTATATAACAACCGTTTACCCAGGAAAGCCTCACTGAGTGACAGCACTCTTGTAATGGGCTTGCCATGTTACAGCACTACAGAAGTTGTCTTGATTGTTATCAAGACCTTTTTCAGGAGGGTCCTGCCAAGTTATTGCAGTAGAGGGCGCTGTTGCCGTGTGTAATCCCAACTGAGTTAACAGTGCTTGTCCTCTTCGACACCAGTCACCGCCATACGTATGTGACATCTCCACACAACAAAGATGAGAGCGGGAAACAGCGTTCTGCTCCGAGTTTGTGATTTATCCGAGACAGCGTTCGGAAGGTCCCTTGCACGAGCGGCAATCGCCAGCACCTGTGGAGTAGGGCTCCTGCTTCTCGACGTCGATGAATTCGCGGCGCTCGTATCTGGCACGGATCCACTGCTCCTTGAGGACCCTGCGGTAAGGACACAGGCACACGAGCATGAGGAGACTCGAGCCAAACCCCAGCGGAGCACACGCAGGTTCAAGAGAGCAAACCAATGATCAAGAATTCTAAGTGGGCTTGGCAAGATAAGCCTCAGAGAGATGATGGCTGGCGGTTGAGACTAACTACGGCGTTACCGCCAAAGGAGGTAACACGTCCAAGATGACGTCCAGAGGAAATGAAGCGATGAGCAGGTGCTAGGTAGACTGCTGCATCGCAAGACCATGAAATGACGGTTGGGGGAAGCCTTCATCTAGTAGTGGATAGATCATGGCTGATAACTGTGATAACAGTTAACTAACTACTTTCAGCCGAAACCACCATAAAACTGTGAATACAATGCCCACAATAAAGAACATCTGCAATGGCGAAGCCACGTTTTTCAATAACTTCAGTTTTGGCCCAAGCTTGACGCTATAAAACTTACGTGAAATAATAATGTATTTCTGAAGCATATGCAGTGCACGATTGCATCTTCAAAATCTTCAATTGAGGATTGTGGCCTTGAATCAGGACCCTTTATTGAAGCAGGGAGGAGGAGCTAAAAAATGTGGCCATCCCAACTTTGAGTTGTTGGTCAAATCAAGAACATGGCCACACATTCACTACTTGAGCTGGAGGTCTGGACAAGGCTGATGGAAGTTGAGTACTGCTGTTTGTGAGCACACGTTGGCGTGTTGATTAATCTGTTGCTTTCCAGCTTGCACGCATTCTCCTGTTGCTTTGGATTCTCAACATTTACAGCCAGCATTACAATTAAACATTTTTTTCGTTCATTCAGAATTCTCTACATTCTGACTTCCTGAATTTCATCCTGATGACATCTGACGTAGTTTCGATCACAACGTCGTATAACTAGTCGCTAAATTGGGTTGTGAGAATTTTTTCTTAACGTAATGGCGAGGGGAGCCGAAACAATAATAATTATACATCTGTTAATCGCTTGTACACGACGTGCCAATTGTATTTATTTGTCTCTGTCTGGTGGTGCAGAATCTTAACGACACAAATTTGGACAAATCACTGTGGCTTAACCTAAAAATCAATTAAATAAACTTTTTTTATTTTGCCAGGTAAGGCCCACCGAGATATATAGCTCTTTTTCAGAGGCGACCTGGCCACAAATGATAGCTAAACGAAGTGGCTTATCACGTGCAAAAAATCGAGCAGCAAAATACTCTAAATGCATGTTTCTAAATGTGGAGGGAAAAAAAGCGGAGGATCAGGATAAAAATCCGCACGACCACGGGGAGAAATGCAAACTCCAATTATATGGCCATTAGGGTTGGGCTCGAACCCCTGACCTCCTGTAAAGCAGGCGAGGCAGTTAATACATCTCGCCACTGCGGTGCCCGCCGATGACTCATTCACAGGAAGTGTTGTATTTGAGCCTGTGCGGGGCATGGAGTGGCACTCACTGGCAGTCGTCGGCCGTGGGGCGGTAGTAAAAGGGAGGGATCCGCTGCTCGTACAACTCCTTTGCCGCGACATTCCCCTTGTTTGCCATGAACTGCAAAGCAGAAATGGAGAGGGTCATCGCCGTCGCTCCCACGCCCGGTCCCCACTGCAATCCACCACTCCGGAGCTCCCTCCGGCACTCGCACCTCTGCGGCGCGACGCACTGGCGCACGCCTCTAGCCCGGCGCTCTGGAGGCCGAGTGGTTGGTTCACACATCTCATCATGAGCAGCATGAGGCTCCCCCTGATGGGCGAATTAGCTTGCCAGTCGACAACAGTGCAGCAAGTAGGACGCTGAGCAATCTGTACACATTATTTATGATCTGTGCGTTTTTCAGGCGTTCTGAATTCCTAAAATATACCAAAAAATACGCATGAAGGAATCGGCCAAACGGATCAATGCAGGACCCTCTTGTAAGTTTTGAGACTCAAGAGGCTTTCCTTGGTAAAGTATTACAATTGTAGTGAGTCCAACTGAGTTGCAGACGTTGTTCTTTAGAGGCAACACATTTATTGTAGCATCAACACGTAACACAAAGGGGTAACTGCCCCTTCACCAGATACAGCCTAGGGTGGTGGCTACCCAGCTAACTACACTATACAGAGGAGTTACAGCTACGAAGGGTCTGGCCCTCACTCAGGTCCCGACCACGTGTTGATGCCTGTAGAGCTTCCAGATTGTAGGACGTAGAACTTCAGCTTGTAGAATGCAGCGACCTCGGTTCCTCTCAGGGACCCACCTTATATCCCTCCACGGGTCGGGGCTGCTCTGCCTTCGGCCCCACCCGCCTTCTGGAGCCTTCTAGCTCCCTCTCGATCCCTCTTGAGAGCTCTCCCCGGACACGTGATCACCCCCTAGTCCCCCCACTTGGGGGCCTCTCTATGAATACTCCAGATCACGTGTCTGCGGGGTCAACCAGAGTGCCATGGCCCGGGGCAACCCTGCCCCTGGGCTGACACTCTCCTACTCCCCCCTGTGGGAGCCCACACTAAATGCTAAGCGTGGTGCCCGCGCTATCCCAGCGCACGCCAAGCCCCGCTAGGGCTGGTACTACACCCGCCTACGGGTGTACGCGATGACAGTGCATCGCACGCCGTGGCACTCAGGCCGGCACCATACAGTGACATCCTCGATGTCACTACACAATTATTGTTAGATCGAATTCACAAAGTCTGGGTACACAGTATAATTTGGATCCCGATGGTAGAAATGCAAATCTTGGCATGGCTCCAGACAAGTCGAGATCCAGATTTATTTTCATTCAGACTGCAAGCGAGGCTTCAGACTTTAATCCATAGCAGTAGTTTAATCTGTGAAGATGGATCAGCACATCTGTAAGTTAATCACAAAGATTTAGATTCAGATTCCAAAATGAATCCAAATCCAGATCATAAATACTAAACTGTTTTTAGTTCACATTGAGACCACAATAGAGATAGATTTTTGCTTAGTCCTTTCAATCGCTGCCAATCATCAACGTTTCTAGGCATACATTGGCCGCTAGTCGACAATTCTGAGACATAATCATGTGGTTTGGTGACAGACTGTCTCAAGTCCACCATCTTGCCACACCCACCAAGGACAACCGCTTTGCCCATCACCACCCCCACTCGTGTGGGAGGGTAGTGAACCGAAAGTAATCAGTCTCCGATTAAAAATTACTACGCCACTGCATCCAGCCACAGAAAACCTCTCACACGCACACACGGGTGGGCAGCCAGGAACTTAAAACAATTATAAATTTATCCCCCGTGCAGGGCAACATGAGCACGCATTGCTGTGATGATGATCCAGGATTACAAGCAATATCTTACCAAGCAACAAGAAAATATCCACCTGGCTCTTATGGACAGTGGCCAGCCCTCCCATACACCCATAATCTGCCAAGGAGGCTTCAGGCTCAACATGGGCCTCTGGTCACAGATTGGTGTGAAATTCCTCCAATACTGAGAAAGTGTTTATTTAGTTCTATGAGCCAGTGTCAGCACAAACATTGACGTGCAAAACTCATACAAGCATGCGCCCATGTGCAGTATGCACAGACAGATGGGTGAATACCATGGCAGAGGACTCAACTCGCAGTTTTAAGATTGCAAGTTCACATCCTCATCTGGGATTGACTCAGTCCATCATCCCACTAGCGTTGATAAAACGACTACCTCTGCGTAGAAAACCAAGAGTACTTGTCCTATGTAACCTGTGCAATTTTCATCACTGGCTACAGGCCACCACTAACTTGAAAAACACTAACATGTCATCATCATCATCATCCCTCTCGGGCAGATAAAATGAGCAGCTCCAAGTGAGGCTGCATTCATTGGTACAGGAAAACTAACAATGGTTATTTAACCGACTATTTTAGGAACAAAGAATAGTGTGGCAGATAATCTTACTGATGATGACTGGTAGCAATCGCTGCCTTAAAATAATCCGAATGCATCATGTCCCGAAGTTGGTAATGTAAATTCCACATACAGTCGACGGGGGACAGTCAGCCCTTGTGGACTCTCCACAAACGTGTATCTAATGATGTTGTAACATCACTCCATGTTTTGCCCGATTCAATCGCCCATATTTGGTGGCTGATTCTGGAGATGCTTACATCAGCGGCACTTGATTTAATTTGCTGACATTCGCCCACAAAACTATGCACATTTTCCCCTTGGCCCATCAAATGTTTGATGACTTGGAAGACTACCAAGCGAACTACAGAGGCAGCAGCAGCACTGAGGCGTCATGGTGGCGCCTCTATATATAAGGCAGCAATGGCGCAGGGTTTGATTCCTGGTCATACACAACATCAGGAGCACGTTTTATATAAACCTGTCCATGGCCTAATCAATGTTGACTCAGCCTTAAATGTGTACTTTGGAGTGTAAATATCAGTACTCGAGGATAAGGGAGGATTGGGGCTGGCCACATCACCCCCTCATGGACCATAATAGGTGGTCGCTAACATCACTCGACTGCAGTCTACAAATACCAACATTCATATGTTTGCATATATATATTACATGTAAAAAATGATACACATTTGAGTGTGCGTGTGTTAACCCAAAACAATGAAGTGTGTTTTCTGACCTGCAACCAACCAGACTGTCACTTGATGTACAATAAAAGTGAACCTAGCCTAGCATGCCATCATTGCCACTGATCAGCGAATGGCAGACAATGTTGCTGTTGCCCGGTTTGTGTGCATGTGTAAGCACACTTATTATTTGTGGCCATTCGCAGGCGTGCTTGTATAAGATGCGAAGTTCCGTGTAGGCGTATGGTTAGTGTTAAAGTGCAAGAACGTGAATATGTTGACGCCTTTCCACCTTCACTTCAAACTGGAACCAGTAAATCCAGCTTTTCTACTCTGACTGCCCACGCGACGATGGCTGTGGGTGCCAGCGATTGTGATTCACCCAACAGCCAGGCTTGTAATCGCCATGCCGATGATGAACACAGCTGGACTGTTCCGACGATACTAGCCACCTCCGCCCGGGCTGTCTCATGCGGAAACACCAATCGATTCGGAGCGATGCACGAGACAAGCACACAGGAGCGCATGCCCGCAAGTGTGCGTATATGTCAGTAGCAGCGGCTACCTGGCCCCTCACCCAAACCTGCCATTGAGATTACATCACCCAATGCTCTGTGCGTATGTTGAACTTCTTTCGCACAATATGTAGCCAACCATGTTAATCGGAGGTGCGAGGAAGGACACTGGCTCCAAAATCAATTTTGGATCAATTTCACCATCTCCAAGATCCTCCACGGACTTTGTCCCTTCCTTCCTCTCCCCTCTCATCTCACTACTTCCAATCACATCTTCTTGGCTTTATTCACATCTTGCACCCCCAGTCTGGACCTCCATCCCCCAGCCATCCCTGCTGTCGACTCCCTGCCCCTGTTCAAGTTCAGGCTGAAAACCCTCCTCTTCTCCTTCTCTGCCTTCGACCGACAGCCTCTTTCTCTCCATGAAATGAACACGCCCACTGTTTCTCTACAGCATCTTGAGTTCCGGTACCACGGAGATGCTACATAAACCCAGTGTACTGTGACAGTTGTGAAGGCGAGTGGGATCGGTATTATAGGTACAATATCATGACCAAGGTTTGAAGGTCACATGGTGTGGTCACCTGACCTCCACTTGCTCATCCTCCCAAAAGTCGAGGCGGAGGGACTTGACGCGGCTGACCTCCGTCATGTTGCGGTGAATCCCAGAGCAGTGCAGGCAGATGAACACCCCGAGTGTGTATGACGCCCAATCAGGATCTGCAATGCACATTCACACGCACATACAACTTTGACAAGACTGTTCGGGCAGGTGCTGTTATTGAAGGCAGACACGGCATACGAGGGGGTGGGTGGCAATCACCACACCCGGCTGCCTTTGTCTCTCAAGTACTGATAAAGACACACCACATCAGGAAGAAATTTAAGGCTGAGTCGACCTTGGGGAGGACCATGACTGGTGGAGATATTCATTGCCTTTTTTGGATGCGAGTGGGAACGGAACTCTGGTCAGAGTCCGTGAAGCAGTGTGCTAACCACTGCACTACTGCTCCACAACATAACAGTATCTTCTTTGGTTATTTCGGTAAAGTCACGTAGAATGAGAATAAAATAATAAATTGATAAAATAAAATAACACAATAATATTCTCACGACGTTTCGGCCACAACACAAGTGGCCTTCATCAGGTGAAGGGACGAGACTGTCTGGTAGGACAGCGCTGGAGTGAAAAAGCCACGTTCAGATCACGACCTTTAAGCTGTGTGAGAGGAAACAAAGCGCCCTCAACTTTAGCAACACACACAGCTTAAAGGTCGTGATCTGAACGTGGCTTTTTCACTCCAGCGCTGTCCTACCAGACATCAGGTGAAGGGACGAGACTGTCTGGTAGGACGAGACTGTCTGGTAGGACAGTCTCGTCCCTTCACCTGATGAAGGCCGCTTGTGTTGTGGCCGAAACGTCGTGAGAATATTATTGTGTTATTTTATCAATTTATTATTTTATTCTCATTCTACGTGACTTTACCGAAAGAACCAAAGAAGATGAATCATTGCAGTCACGAAGGCTTTAAATCGAAACATAACAGTAGACAAGACATACAAAGTAATGCACTGCTAAACAGTCACACACAAACACTCCCACACAACCACACAAACCCATACATAGAAACAGAGACACACAAAGATCCACTGTTTAAGCCAGAAAGAGCGGGTGGGGTGAGCTATATAGTAAACGCCACCAATGCCTGAACGACACATTTTGTTTTGCAGCAGAGTTTGTATAAGCGGGTAAACTCAGAACCGGTTTCAATTTTCAGGGTCTCATCGGCAGACTCGGACCAGTTAAATAAGTGGTGCTGGATAGTCAGATTTTATAGCACAGAGTTCTGTATAAAGTGGAGCAAATTTGAAGATGGAGTTCCCATAGGGGAGGTCCACAGCAGTCATTTCCGGGAACAACAAAGTCAAAATAAAGTGACAAGATTGGCAGCCTTGGAGACGGGGCTGGAAATTCCTCATTACTATGAAATGTGGCATGTGGGTAGCTTCCAGACTGCACACAATGCAAAAATTATAAAAATAGACTTTTGTCTTTTTTTTTGGGGGGGGGGGGGGGCAATAATGCATATATTTTGCACGGCAAATGAGCTGTGATGTCACATCTGTCATGTGACCCGTATGCGGAAGAGTAACGGAGTGTGCCTGCTGATGTCACCCTCCCAACCCTCCGTGGGTAAAGTGAAATACAAACGTGTTGCAGGTCTAAGGCATTCTTCGCGCAGCATTGCTTTATTATTTCAGTCGTTTATTGCTGTACGCACCCTGAAAGTTGTGCGTGTCTGCAGAAAGCGTGTGTATGTGTACCTATGGACGCGCGCGTGTGTGTGTGTGTGTGGGGGGAGGGGTAGTGTAGTGATTAGTGCACTGCGCTACAAGCCCGGCGACCCGAGTTTGATTCCCACCTCATGGCCACCACCGGTGACGATTATTTTAACCGCTCCTGGGCCTCCCCTAGGTCGAATCAGCCTCAAACGAGTAACTCGTGTGGTGTGTGAACATCACTACTTGGGAGACAAAGGCGGCCGGGCGTGGTGAATCCAAGTTCCGGGTGAAGCCGGGTAGTAAAGCTAATCACATATATACAGGCATACCTCGCCTAGCGCACCAGCGAACCATGCGGATTCGTCAAAGTGCTCTTTGTCACAAAAATGAATAAAATCAAAGCAAATAGAAAGCGCTTATGAGTGAGAACACCGAGCAGCAGCCCTGGCCAGAGAAACGTCCCCACCCCCATCATTCGCTCAGCCAATGAGAGTTAAGTACACTGAGCCAACCAGACACCACCCACAGCGATTCGATTATCACGATTCATTGTTACGATTACTTAAAAAATATAGTTTATTGTCTTTCAATGGTAAGCCAGGTGAGAACTCACCAGACCAGGATACAGTTTCAGGCCCCACCTAAAAGAATTTCACGAGAGAAATTCAGACTGAGGACATCACTAAGACAACGGAGGTTCTGGAGCTCTTCTCTGAGAATGTCCTGGACTGCGGGCACAGCATCTCCCACAACCTCGTCTCCTACTGCTCCCATGTTGGAGGAGTACCGTAAAATGCACTCGTGAATAGAATACATAATACTTACTGATGTCATAATAAGTTATTATTTATATTTCTCAAATAATGTTTACCATCTGTATTATTAGTACGAAATTAATCAAGCAGTGGGGAACGTATCCTTATATATAAAACGGAATGACCCCTTTTAGCACCAATTTGATTTGCACTCACTTCTCTAGGAACGCATCTCGAGCACTACGTGAAGTCTACCTGTACTAACAACATCCCGTAGGGCAATGGGACGTGCAAAGAAAGCTCTTTGAGAGCGGGTCTCCACTCCCAACACCTGACCTAACCCAACCTTCATACAGAACACCTCACCAACTTGAGCAGAGCACAAGGTCCAGGGTAGAAGTACACAAGCGCAAACAGAAATACACAGCAGAAAATAGCATAAGGACAGCCTGGAATGGAGTAAACGGAGGAGGCATCCAACTCCTCTCCCCATCCTCTCCACCAGCACGAAGAAACCCCTCGTGCTGCACTCCCCGTGAGGAGACGTGAAAATGGACAAAAACCCGAAACAAAAAGCGGCGTATTCGGCGCCAATCCCTTATCCCCCAGATTTTTTAGGAGCAAGGTCTCCTGAGGAGAAACTTGACGTGGGGATGGATGGGTAGGCATTCCACAGTGGACGGTGGCATTAACTGGAAACAAGTTTTTACCAAGGTACAAATTTTTTTATTCCATAACAATGTCGCTGTCCACTGGTCTTGTTATTCTATACAAGTTAGCAACACGTGCAAAAGCTGGTGCGCTGTCGGAGGGGCAGGGTTTCCCTACAAGACTGCCGCCAAAACCGCCCAGCGAAATGCGGCGTCCTGAGAGAAGACTGCATCCAAGCATCCAATTGATAATGCCAAGAAAGTGTGTGGGGCGACTTCCACTTGGCCATCTTGCAGATTGCCTCCAACGGTTGGCAATGCTGTGCCACACTCCGTCAGCCGCACGGACAGCCTAACCGTCAAGGCTGGTTTGACTCTTAGAGCTTTGCCGATGAAGACGAACAGCTGCTGTGTATCTCACTAGTTGGCCGTTCTCAGTAGCTAAGACTTCAGGACTCTGGCCACATCTAGGGATGTGGAGCACCCTCTACTTCCTGGAAGCGTAGGGTGCCAAGCACAGGGTTGGCAAGATGCAACTCCTGTTGATGGTGAAAAGCAGACGCCACTTTCGACAAGAATAGAGGCGATTTCGTCAAAACTATCTCATACGGCTGAAAAACAATAGATGGGAGGGTGAGTTAATAAGGCGTGTAAGGCCCCAACACTCCATGCTGATGTAATAGCTACTAAGAAAAAAGTTTCCAGGGTTAGGGGTTTGGACGTTGTAACCATCGGCTCAAACGACAGCCTCGTGAGGGCATCAACACCAGGCAGAGGTTCCAAGGGGCACCAGCAACCGGGCACTACAGCCAGGCTAACGAAATCGCCCTCAGGAGCCGAGAGAGCACAGGGGCTGCCCCTGTGCTCTCTAGGCTCTGCAGTTCAGCTGCTCATAAGAAGCCGAGATCGCGGCAAGGTCGAACTTCATGAATGCTATCAAGCGCCTACACTAACAAACCGCTTCTGGAGGTGGCTCACTATAACCGAAAGACCACAGGTTAGAGGGTCTTGATGCGCCGAGACACACCAATGCAAGAAGGCATTCCAGTGCGAGGCATATACCCTGACCATGGACGGCCTCCTGGATTTTAACAGCAGCATCTGACACTTGGTCAGAGAACCTCTTATCCACTCAACATCCAGGCAGTCCGTTGTAAATGCTCCCTCATAATCCTTGGGCCAGACCAGCTTCGGTACCACCCAAGGTGGCAAAACTTCAATGGTGTAATTTTATTTGTTACACCAACAGAAGTAAAATAATACATGATAACCTTTCCAAATGAGCAGCCGTTTAATTTTTCTCGCAGGAAACCTGTTTTGCACTTATCGCAATCACGCCAATTTGCCCGGACGTTACAAATAAAACATTCCAACACCGCTGCTGTTTATTAAGAAATAAATAATTTACCAAATGGATGTTTGCCCCTAAGGCATGTATTTCATACATATTCTTGCATGTATTTACGCTTGTTCTTCAATTTCAGTGACTTAGTCAAGTCTGGAATAGATTGGCGCTATCTCTTTTCCTTCTGTTTCTAGCAGCTTGTTTGCTCATGATCATTTACTGGCAGGTGAGGCAAGTACTGGTGGTTATGTATTATTTCTGTTCAGTAAAGATATCTGAAGTGCTAACTTTACCCTCAATGTATTGTTAATGTACCTGTTAAGATTATTAGTTCAGGCCAGGTACTACAGGCAAAAATAATGATTTTTGTTTAGTTTGTCAATTGATATTTTTTTATATTTTGCTTCTATAAATTTAACAAAGTCATAGTAACAAAGTTATTGGTATTGGTAATAATTGTGTGCATGTTATTGAAAGATGATTAAAATCATAAAAACAAACTATTTATATTTTATAAATAGTTAGTTTTTATTATTTTATACAAACTTCGCCAAGTTAACAAAGCCTTACATTTGAGTTTTTTAGCGTCTTTCATCTCAATTTGTCTCTGCATTTTAAGAAATAACCTAGTTGAATTTCATATAATTGAAAAGCTTATACTGGTAGGAACCTCCTAGTTACACCAGC